ACATACTGGTGGCACGTGTATGAGCTCATTACAGGTGTAATTAACGTAATTAATAGATGACTGGAAGTTAATATGTGAATTATTATTTCAAATTTGAGTAAAAGACGATTAATGTGCAACATTTAATTATATATTGCGGCGGAATATCTATTGAAATTGTATCGCATTTCCAACGAAGTTTGAAATTTGAAGAAAGAAGTTTTAGTGGACTCACTAGCTAATAAAGTGTAATAAAAGAAAATATGGATTTTTTTGCAAAATTAGTAGTGATAATATTTCCAAATTCAAAAGTTTTAGAAAATAGACTTAATTTATATTTGTATAAAATTTATTAAATATAATTAATTTATCCTCTTATTGCGTCGTGGTGTAAGATATTGTCCGACGCCGCTGTGATGTACCGATGGCCTTTTAAAAGTCTATTTACATGTCATATTTACAAAACGCTGATATTTGTTGACATACGACAAGAGGCGGTGTTTTGCTACTGATAGTGAAATTGCTTTCTAAGAAAAACAATAAATAAAATCCAAACAAAACATAAAACGCGAGCGAATCTTACGAAACATTGTTGTTAATTCGATTGATGACTGTAATCGTAGTAATTAATTATAATAATAAAAATCGTTTTGGGGAAAAATAGTACAGGATTAAGAATGGTAGTAATAAAATCACCTTGTGGCTCATGTAGGCTCATGCAATTTTTGATAAATATCTCATTATTTGAAGAAAATGATTATCCTAGTCCTCCATCTGTATAAAATTTGTATTGTTAATATTAAAATACAGAATTCGATATAGCTGAGATAATTATGAGTAAGAAGGACAAAAAAGATTAGAATTAGGAGTAAGAAGAAAAAAAAGAATGAAGATGAAAAGAAGAATGAAGGAAAAAGGAAAATAGGAGTTGAATAGAAAGATGAACAAGATTAGCAAGAGAGAGAAGAACGAAGAAGTGGCTAAAGAAGAATATGAATTATGATTGAGATAGAATAGAATTAGAAGTTATAAAAAAACAAGGCTATAAGACAAAAGAAGAATGAAGAAGAAATAAAGGAAGTGAGGAGTTGAATAGAATTAGAAGTTAGAAGAATTAGAAGTTAGAAGAGAAAGAAGAAGAAGATGAGTGGCTATTGCTCCGAGTTAAATAAAATTTGAATTGCTGATTTGAGATAGAATAGAATTAGAAATTAAAAGAAGCAAGGGTAGAAGAAAAAAGAAGAATGAAGAAGTCAGTTATAAAGAAATATAAGTGCATGATATAATTAAGATAATATGTATATGACATAAAACGATCGGCTAAATGCTTTATGTTAGCGAGGTTGATTATAATAGAAAATAATAAAACCTTGAAACTTTTATTAAAATTGTCCAAAAATTGGATAATGATATAATTCAAATATCAAAATATCAAAACGTAACTTAGTTATCGAGACAAGATTTAAAAATTGCAATTAGTTTCATATAAAACATTTAATTTGAATTGGAATAATTACTTTAATTATTATTGAATTAATTTAAGATAATGACAATTATATAGATTACAAACAATTACTAACATTTTTAATTTGTGCATAGAACATATGCATTAGTTCTAATTGCTCATTTCTTTTATTAACATATTAGCCAATGTTAATAATATAAACAAAACAATTCATATTCATATTCTACTACGTTGACGTAAATGAATAAATTTCATATAATGTTATTCATTGTGGTATACATATATGAAAAAACGAGCAGATTTTTTAATTGAATAATTTATTTGTAATACACTAGTAAAAGAGTGATATAAAATATAATTGAATCACTAATATTTTAATAATTATACTATTTTAATATAAGATTATTTTAAATTGAAATTGGATATTGAAAACGATTATTGAAGTTGACTTGAAGAGTTAATTATATTTTTGTTTGATGAGTATATTATATTTTTGTAAATCTTTATTTAGAATTAGGTTCACGTTTAAGAATATTTCCCTCAATTTTAAAATGGAATTTATAAATTAAATTGATATAATTTTGTGCAAATCATGTTAATATTTCCACTGAAAACTTGGATCAAATTTCTGCATTCAAGTCGGTTGCAGATAATTTTTTTTATATTATATATTTAATTTCCAAAAAAAAAAATAGAATCTAACTTCTATGCACAATAAATAATTATTTTAAATTAGGTAAGTCATATAATCGCGGTTAATCAAATTGTTTGAAGAAATTTTTCAGATTACAATATTCACTTGAGCACAATTTTTCGCTTTCAGGAAATTAGTTCCTTACATAAGTTACGATAATGATCAACAATTTAGCATTTACTTCAAAGTATATTTCAAATATACATATATGTGAGATATATCGCAAATATCAAAATATTTATTCAAATTGCGTAATGTACAGTAGCTTCTTGATTCAGATGGATAGAAACGCATGTGCAAACATTTCAAGGTCTATGTTAAAAATAATGCAATCTCGATTGATTAACGAAATAACTATTCCATAACTAATTAATAATAATTAGTAAATAATAAATAAGATAGAAGAAAGAAGAATAAATGTGCACTGAAGAGGTTTAGAAATTTATTCGTATACGAAAGGATTAGATATCGCATTAGAATCAAGTAAGATCAAAACTAAAATCTAACAAGACTGAGTAAGAATCTAATAAGAACGGGTGAAAAAGTAGAATAACGGAAAAAATAAAGAATAATGTAGAAGAAGAATGTAGAAAAAGAATGTAGAAGAAGAATGTAGAAAAAGAAGGTAGAAGAAGAATGTAGAAAAAGAATGTAAAATAAGAATGTAGAAGAAGAATGTAGAAGAAGAATGTAGAAGAAGGTAGAAGAAGAATGTAGAAAAAGAAGGTAGAAGAAGAAAGTAGAAGAAGAAAGTAGAAGAAGAAGGCAGAATCAGAATACGGATAACAAAATTTTTCAGTATAACTGTTAAAGAATATATGATGATTAATATTAAAACATGCTTATTGTCTTTAATTAATTATCCAAAATTTGTAGATTTTTATTTATAATATTCTGATTATTATTAGATAATATCAACATTTTATTTTTTATTACAATTACAATTTTTTAACAAATGCCAGAGTTACTAAAAATAGCATTAAATCTGTTTAAACAATCAAATTTCCATTACTACTCAAAAGAAATAAGACACCTTAATGAACTTGCCATTTCAGCTTAAAACTAGTTTTTTCCATAATATTTGTATAAAAAACTAAATATCAAAGTAATGATTGCAAGCTCATCACTTATGTAAATATATTCTAATTTGTTGAAGATTTCAAGTTGACTACGTGTTAAATATGGATATTTACTGAAGTTTAAAGTAGGCTCATATATACTACTGTATACTATTATGATAAATAGTATACATATCTGATAAGATAAAACAATTGTAGATATTATTTTGGGATGAATATTAAACGTGTGAGATTTACGTTTTGTGTATGATAGTTAAAAAATCTTATTAGGAGATTGACAAATTTGTTTAGAATGCGGTATTTTTATGGTTTATTTATTAGTTTTCAGAATATTGTATTAATGATACAATTTTAAACATGGTAATTAATTTTTATATCTTTTTTATTGGTTTTTGAAATATTGAACCGAAGAAGTTTGTTTTCGCGAAAAAATCGGTTTTGCTAATTTTGTGTTTTCCCAACGTTTCTAGTCATTCTTAATGGAATAAGACTAAATTTGAAAAAAAGTATATGAGACAAATTTTTATCTTTTGTTGTTTTCTCAAAAACGGCTAAAACGGTTTGAAAAATTTACAAGCCATTGATGTAGCTCTAAAGACTAGCCAGTTGTCTGTTTTGTACGACGATCTGCCAAGCCGTTTCTTTGTAATTAGCAGAAGTGTAAAAATTTTTGTCCACATTTTAGCCCACAATTTTGAATCGATATTACTAATTCAAAATTAGAAAAATATTAGTTAGGAATCGAGTTGATTACTTTTTGGTAAAGATTTAGTGTGTGAAATTTTTCAATAATCAAACGTGTAAAATGATTGATCAAAATGCAAATTTTATTTAAAATGTTATTTTGAATACGAGAACTATTAAATGTTTTTAATCATTAAATTATGCTCTCATTAAATCTTTGTTTTCGTTTTTTTATCAGGTTTATAAACTTGTTATTAAGTTTTGTCAATGTCATTTTTTTAATGTTTCTGACAAATTTAATCTATAACAAGTAATATTTTTACTTCTCGTAGGGTAAGTCATAGAAATAGCAAAAAATAGAAAATAATATTTTTTTTCGCATAAGTTTCAAAGGTATCTGAACATTTTGAAAACATGCCCTAAAAAAAATAGATGTATGTGCATATATGTATGTTCGGACACAAATTTTCGTTCATGATTTCCAAAGTAACTGATCAACCTTTTTGAATGATTCAAAAAACATTCGATTACTATTGTTGGAGGAACCTGGTAATTAGATTTTCGCAAAAGCAAGTTCAGCCGTTTCGAAGATACGGGCCAAAAATTGAAAAAATGGCAATTCAGTTTTTTGGAGAATGGAGCATCCGATTTGAATGATTCAAAAATCATTTCACTTGTAATAATGGAGTGAAGAAATTGTAAAATATTTGCGAAGGCAGATTTTGAGTAGTTTCGGAGATCTAATGAAATTTTTTTTAAATAATGCCATTTGGTGGTCAAAAATGATCATTACATATATACATATCAACTTATGGTATGATAGTATAATGATATTCCCAGATTAGGTATATACAATTTGTATCATTATGTAAAAATCAATGTATGTATTTAAGTCAAATAAAGCAAATTTTCAAATTAAAAAAAAAATCAACTTATGGTACGGTACGGTAAGGTAAGTTCTAGCATTTGTCTTAAGACACGATGCCATGCACCATCAATTAATATATTATAACATTTATGATACCTCAAGCAAGTATCATTTTTCATTGGTATTTTTTACCCAAGTAGTATTTTTTATTAAATGATTTTCCTTTCTCACCCATGGCCAACTGTTGATTGCTGCATTTGTTACTGTCGGATCCGTCGCCTGGCTCGACGTAATTTTCCGGCCTGGGCAGCGGCCAAGTGTTGGAACGGGCCCTCGTCTGCGGTTCAAAAGTCGAATCTTGCAAATCTAAAAGACCGCAGGCCTCCATGCCCATGACAGTGCCGGCGCCTAAACTTTCCAACACACGGGGCGGCGTGTGCCAGGGACTCCCGAAAGGACCGCCGCCCCCTGGAATCTCCATCTCGATGGAATCCGTAATAAATAGGTAGTGAATAATTGGGTTATGTAATTTAGGTGAAGTAGTAAATGTTGTTTCGTGATAAGAGATAAGAGTTTACTAAAAGTAAGCAAGTGTAACTACATCACAAAAAGAACTAGATTTGAGCGAAATTGTCACGTTTTAGTTGTATGTTTATGTTACGCGCGCATGCCGTACCAGACACACTTCTATATATGTATGTACACAACAGTGAGGTCGATCGACACGTGACTCCAAACTGCGTTATAGGTTATGATACAGATAAAACACAATAGCACAGATAATATCAAATCATTCGATATGTTATAACAACACTTCACACACAAATTTATTCTAAAAACACTTAAAAATCCAGCAAAACTCCGGAAAAATAGTCCGATCACCGCGCGCTCGATTCAAATATGACCTTGATCAGCGCGACTTTTTGCGACGTGAGGAAAGGAAACACTTTTCAAAACGCGTAATAATTCAATTATTAATAATCCTGTATTTTTACCAAAAACTTGACTTTTACTATTTGCGAATGTATTTATTATTTCTAACGCGGCACAGAGGACGTCTACTTCAAACGACAGTCGTCGCCCTAATGGCGTGACTTCGCAGACATGCTGATAGTAGACGTACTGAACCGATGGCTCCGTGCGAATCCGAGCGCCGTTTCGGGCCCGATCGCATGATATTAGAGATATTACGAGCGCGCTGCGACGTCGAATATGTACTAGAATTATCAGAGTTCGTTTCATTCTGATTAGATTCCATGCATCGAATTCGATCGGCGATGGACAATACCTAAAAACTTACAAATGATAAAAAAAACTAATGGGATGTATAGCATCGTGCCTTAAAGCAAATTGCTGGAACTTCCTGTACCGTAACGAAATGTTCGAGGAATACTAAATGTTTTCAAATAGATTATTACAAATATTGTAACATTGTCTGATATTTATAAGAATTATATAAACTGAATTGCAAAGTTGAAATTATTTGTTTAAAGTATATTAGAACTATAGTCAGAATTAAAAATAAAATCTGTATTTTTTCGATATACAAAAAAAAATGATACAAAATTTTTTGTTCCAAAAAACAATTATTTTGTTAAAACAAGCTGAAAGTTCTTTGACTCATTCAAATCGGACGCTTAAGTCTCTCAAAAACTGCCATTTTTTACATATTTAGCTCCATATCTTCGAAATGGCTGGGCCTACCTTTGCCAAAAACTAATAAACACTTCTCCCAATCATTACTAATTGAATGTTTTTAGATCATTCAAATCGGATACTCCGTTCTCTCAAAAAGTCGATTTCTATTTTCTGCACTCTTTGCTCCGTATCCCCGAAATGGCTGGACCTGCCTTTGCCAAAAACTAATCAGCTCTTTTCCCTACCGATAGGAATCGAATGTTTTTTGAACCATTCAAATCGGTTGATCCGTGCGCCCGAAAACGTGACTGGAAATTTGTATCCATACACACACACACACACATCCATTATTTCTGAGGTATGCCAAAATGTTCAGAAACCTTCAAAACGTCGAGAAATGTAAAAATTTTTAATTCCGATTTTCGGCCCATTACAATAATTTACCCTACCTACCTACTACCCTAGTGGTGTATGGTATCGTGCCTTAAGACAAATTGCTGGAACTTCCAGTACCAAAAATTATTTTTTTTAAAAAAATTAACATATTTCAAAAAAATTACTCTGAAAAAATTAGATTATTGAGAAATTATAAATTTTTGACAAGAATTTACTTTTTTTCGAAAAAAAAGACTAAAGAAAAATTTATTTTGAAATATTTTGGAAATTCTGAACTTGTTTTCAAAGCAATCGTACTGCTTTAACTGCATAGGAACGAAATATCAAAGCGCGTAAGCGCCGCGTCGCCGTCTAACGAATAAACATTGGCACGGAACCAATAGGAATGTAAACAAAATTTATACTTATTGTTAAAACCTCTATAAAATATTTGATAATTTGATGTGCATATGTCTAATGATCATTTTTGACCGCCAAATGGTATTTTTTTTTTTACTTTTTTTGCTAGATCTCTGAAACCGCTAGACCTGCCTCCATGATCAGTTCTTCATCTTGCTAATACAAGTAAAATGTTTTTTGAATTATTCAAATCGGACGCCCCGTTCTCTTAAAAACTGAGTTACCGTTTTCGGCACTTTTTGCCCCGTACCTTCGAAACAGCTAGACCTGCCTTCGCCTAAAACTACTCAGCACGTCTCCTTATCAATACGAATCGAATGTTTTTTGAATTATTCAAATCGCTTTATCCGTGTTCCCGAAATCGTCGATGAAAATTTGTATCCGAACACACACACATATTTATTTATTTATTTATTTATTTTATTTATTCATAAGCAAGCCGTAATCAATAATAATAGATATTATTTCAGGCTCTTGTCAAGCTTATTTATAGTTAATATTAAAAGGATAGTAATTTTATAATAATCATAGTAGCTGCACGAATTTCGCTTCTGAAAAAAAAGAGCTGAAAAAAAGCATTCAATACAATTTTCATCATCAAGTTCATCATATTAAAGTCTATTTGACCACCAGTCAAGCTCAAAATTCTTGCACTAGGTTGAAAGTTATACTCATTTAAAACCGTAAAAAATTTAAATTAATAGCATAGCAATAAAAAAAAAAAAAATATATGGTTGTACAAGCGATCAAATAGTCAGGCTACATAGATACAGGATAAGGATTATGCAAGCAAATAGTTATTGAAATCAAATTGAGAAAATTCAGTAATGTCATAAAAAGATAATTCTTTAAAAAATTATTAGCACACACACCCACATACACACACAGAGACATATATACATTTTTTCTAGACCTCTAAAACGTAAAGATATATAAAAATGTTCATTTTCGATTTTTTGCGATTACTGTAACTTACCATACGGGAAGTTAACAAGAATCATTTTACAAATATTTTTTTTTATTTAAAAAATTGACGGATAAGTAAAATAGATGGGGGGTAAACTAGATAAGTTTACCTATGGAATAGGTAGACATGTTTATAAGTCATTAAACATGTTTTATAAAAAATACTAATAAAACTCCCAATTTATCGTGATAACACGATATAATATGAAACAACAATGATACCAGACGCAAGAATTTCAGAAGAAATAAACTACCTTACTCTGTCGAAAATTTACTATTGCGCAGTTCTTCATTTTGTACTTTTGCAAAAGTATTCCAATACCTGTGTGGCAATTCATCTTACATGCGGTGCGCAAATAAGTTCTGTCCCAAAGAAAATTGAGTCGTTAGCAAATTGCAAGTTTCCCACAGTTAGTTAGAACCCGAGTACAACTGATCAAGTAGTTCTGCTCTTAATAATTCTTTTCGGATTGCCCTGCCGAAGCTATAAAAACAAAACGTAATCGGATAGTAGTCCACAAATCTTTCTAATTGCATACCCTTAAGTCGAATGAGTTATTAGATAATCAAGACGGTAATTAATATCGAAATAATAATCAAGAGTGATAATAGTTTTTCCAGCCTTTGTCATGTTGTCCAGATCGTACTTGAATTTTTCTTGTTTTTTTTCTATCATAAGGCATTGAATCAATTGTTCAAAAAACCCAAAGAATTTACACTAAGAACTACGTCCATGAGGTAACGGTAACTAGTGGTGCATTGCAACGTGCCTTAAGGCTAATTGCTGGAACTTCAAAATATTCTAGAAATTTCAAATGTTTTCGAATAGATTATTGTAAAGACTGTAACTTTCATTATTCGTATTTTAAAGGCCAATATAAGTTTTATCAAAACTCTCAGAGACTGAATTTATATTTTCTGCATTCTTTGCTTCATATCTCCGAAATGGCTAGATCTGTCTTCGCCAAAAACTAATAAGCATGTCTACCTATCAATAGAAATCGATTGCTTATTGAATCATTCAAATAAATTGTATTCACACTTAAACACACACTTGCTACCGATTTGGTAATAGACTTGTGATCTTCGGAAAGAAGAAGAGCGAATGGTAGTAATTAGAAGAGAAGCATAATTTCAGAGCAAGAATTATAGCATTCTAGATCCTCCCCCCTATGATGTAACGGCAAAAGATAAGCGGAAGTTTTAGTCGGTATTATACAAAAGACCAGTCTGGGATACATTTTTTCAAGTTAGTTATAATTTTCTGCATTCTTTGTTTCATATCTCCGAAATGGATAGACCTATCTTTGCCAAAAACTAGTAGGCACGTCTACCTATCAATAGGAATCGATTGCTTATTGAATCATTCAAATCGGTTGATCCGTACGCCCGAAATCATCGACGATAAATTGTATTTACACTTACAAACACACTTGCTACCGATTTGGTAATAGACTTGCGATCTTCGGAAAGAAGAAGAGCGAATGGCAATAATTAGAAGAAAAGTATAATTTCAGAGCAAGAATTATAGCATTCTAGATCCTCCCCCCATGATGTAACGGCAAAAGATAAGCAGAGGTTTCAGTCGGTATTGAGAACGACATATCCAGAAAAAAAATAGAAAAAGATACACATACATTTTTCGTAAGGTTTTCCAAAATGTTCAGAAACTTTAGAAACGCAAAAATTCTCAGTTTCGATTCTTAAACGATTACAATAACTTGCCCTATGGAAAGTTAAAAATGAGAAGGACAAAATGAATTTTTGCTTTTAGTATTCTCAAAATAGGTCCTTGTTTATATAACTTTGTAGCTAATTTTTCCCTTACAAATTTGTCCGATTTTGCTAATATCCCCTTTCAAAGTATTCGAATTTGTGTCTATTACAAACTAGAGTTCTTTGCAAAATTTTCTACCTCGCAATACTGACTGAGAAGCTCCCATGCGCCCCCATATACGTAGTAGCGCCATAAGACTGGATTAAGATACAATATGATTGATTGGCTATTCATAGAATGACTACGCCTCTTCATGGCGATTGCTTCGCTGGAGTGAGTAAGGAGTCTTTATGGGAAATATTCTTATATAAATATATGTATATGTATCAATACTTTTCAAACGATGTAACAGTAGCTGAATCAAGGAAGTGCATAAAACTTTTAGTAATTGCGGAAGAAATTCTGGGGAATAATTTGGTGATATATAACTGAGGTTGATGGTAATTTTTATTGCATTGATTAATAATAACATTCCAAATAAACCCGCATTACCTTTTCCAAATTCAATTTAATTGAATTAACTAACTAGTGGTATATGGCATCGTGCCTTAAGGCAAATTGCTGGAACTTCTCGTACCGAAAGTTTTTTTTCTAAAAATTAATTTTTCTTTAATTTTTGAAATTTGGGAAATTTTTGAAAAAAATTGACTTTTTTAGAAGAAAAAAGTTTAAGAAAAAAATGTTTTTATTTTGAAATATTTAGACGAATTATCGAAGCGCGTGAGCGCCGCGTCTCCATCTAACGGACAAACGATGTTACGGAATCCATAGAAATGCAAACAAAATTGATACACATTATTAATATCTCTATAAAATATCTGATAATTTGATGTGCATATGTCTAATGATCATTTTTGACCGCTAAATGGCATTTTATTTTACTTTTTTTTACTAGATCTCCGAAACCGCTAGACCTTCCTTCATAAAAATTTAATCAGTTCTTCACCTTGCCAATACGAGTAAAATCTTTTTTTGAATTATTAAAATCGGACTTTCTTAAAAACCGTAAAATTACTATTAACATATTTTATATGGTGAATATAAAAAAATTCATGGACAAATTAATGCATGTTTAATTGTTAATTGTATTTATGTGCTGTGCAGATATAAAATATGATATATAATTGTAAATAAGATGTCAATATTAAAAACATGGCAAATAAACATGCCATGCATCAAAAGCGTTTACTTGTATAAATTGAAGTTTATGTGTATCAATTACTTAATTGATGTGATATTTTATTTATCTGAAAATATTTAAAAAAAAATTAGTAAATTCATTTAAATAAAATCTCATCAATGTTCTTCAACTTTTTTCATTGACCTGCCTTTGCCAAAAACTAATCTGCACGTCTCCTTATCAATACGAATCGAATGTTTTTGAAATTATTCAAATCGGTTGATCCCTGTTCTCGAAATCGTCGACGAAAATTTGTATCCGCACACACACACACGCATATACATCGATTTTTTCTAAGGTATGCCAAAATATTCAGAAACCTCTGAAACGTAGAGATATATAAAAATTTTCATTTCCAATTTTTTTTCAATTACTATAACTTTCCCTACGGGAAGTTAAAAATATTAAAAAAATTAATACTACTCAAATATCATCTTTAAAAATAAGCGTTGCCAAATTTATTTTTGAACACATAAAAATAATAAATAATCTGTAATATTTACATTTATAACTTACAAATAATGTTTGATAAAAAAATATTAAATTTTAAAGCTAAAAACAAGGTGGCCATCTACATACGTGCTACATAAGTCCTTTATGATCTTCTCAGTTTGGTTCTGAGTTTAGATACAAAATTTAATGATACATAAGTAGTTTTTTGTTTATTAGTAGTACGAAATAGTCAATTTTATTAGTATTTAAATTAAGTTATATTAAGAATTTTATCATACCTCATAAGAATGAATCCTCCAAATAAGGAAGCAGCGTTTGACTCATTTTACACTGAGGTATGAGCCTTGAAAGCGTAAATTTGACATATTTTGTTGGTTATGATTGTCAATTGTTTTGAAATGTTATTCTAGGTAAAAGAAATCGAAAAACGAGACTCTGTTTTAACGCCTAAACAGCAAATAGACAGACTACTACGACCAGGTTCAACTTATTTTAATCTGAATCCTTTCGAAGTGCTCCAAATCGATCCCGGGACCCCCTTGGATGAGGTTAAAAAGAAATATAGGAGGTATTCAATATTAGTGCATCCAGATAAAAATCAAGATGACGCAGAAAGGGCCCAACAGGCTTTTGAAATTATTAATAAAGCCTGGAAAACATTGGAAAATGACGATACACGAAAAAAGTGTATGGATATTTATGATGAAGCAAAAGGCAGGACCGATCTCATGGTAGTTTCTTTTAATCCTTTTTTATAATATTATTTATAGATGATTACATAATGCTGTTCATTTTAAGATTGCTGAGAAGCGAAAAAAATTAAAAAAAGATGGAAAAACAACTGAAACTATTCCTGAAGATGATCCTCAACAATATAAACATGCTGTGTACGTACTGATGATGAAGGTATAATTAATATATTATTAAGTATATTTTATGATAGTGATGAATTGATTTTTTTTATATTTTTTTAAGTTATTTGCTGATATGGAGCGCAGAAGACAACACCTAGAGACTCGAGATATGGAGGAAAGAAAAAGAAAAAGGGAGGCTGAAATTGAACAAGAAGAAAAATCAACAATGGAAAGGGAATGGCAAAAGAACTTTGAGGTATCATTCATTAAAATCACATAACCTTTTCTGAACTTAACTGATATTCATAAAATATTTATTCATTATTAGGAATCACGCCAAAATAGAGTCGACAGTTGGTTAAATTTTCAGGCTGGTAGTTCATCAAAATCTGGGAAAAGCAAAGAAAAGAAAGTGAAAAAAATCAAATCATTTCGCCCACCCAAACCTAAACCGGAATCTAGATAAAAAAAATTATTTGATAAGATTTAGAATCATTATGTGTAATGTTTAAGTATGTGTATATAATAAATTAGCTATTAAATCAATAATTAGTTTTTTAAAACGCTTTTAATTAAAATAATTATATATATAGATATAGTTCAATTTAGATTTTAATAATATAAATGTATTTTTTTATTTTCTAATCAGAGTGTAATTCTTGAGTGATTTGTTTTGTGAATGAAAAAAAGTTGAAGAACATTGATGAGATTTTATTTAAATGAATTTACTAAATTTTTTAAAAACATTTTCAGATAAATAAAATATCACATCAATTAAGTAATTGATACACATAAACTTCAATTTATACAAGTAAACACTTTTGATGCATGGCATGTTTATTTGCCATGTTTTTAATATTGACATCTTATTTACAATTATATATCATATTTTATATCTGCACAGCACATAAATACAATTAACAATTAAACATGCATTAATTTGTCCATGAATTTTTTTATATTCACCATATAAAATATGTTAATAGTAATATACAATTAATATTTTATTAATAAAATAGAATTCTTTATCCCAATGAAACATTTACTTTTTATATATTGCATTCATTAATATTTAATATCTACCTTAAATCCTTTTATAAATGCTCATTTAATTGTTAGGCCTGATGAAACATCAATCTATGATGACGCCTTAATGAACTTTTATCAGAGAAACTTTTATCACAGTCTCTGCATTTGAAAGTTTTTCCTGTATGCGTCAAAAGATGCCTACTAAGTCCTGATGCATGGCAAAACATTTTAGGGCATAAAGAACACCTGTGAAGTTGAATATCGGCAGGATTTGGTTTAATATGCTGCCTCATATGACTTCGTAAAGCCTCTCTCTGGGTAAAGCCCTTGTCACAATGTGTACATTGGTAGGGCTTCTCACCTAATATATTAAAAAAGACCCAATTTGTTGAGAGTGGTTGAACAGTTTGATTATTATAATTACAGGAAACATGCAGACACCCTAATTGATGCAATTCCTAACTAATAATTAATATAATTATTATAAAATATATTCAGTCAGATTTACCATTACCCGAATGTGTCATGAGATGCCTAAAGAGCACTTCCTTCTGTGCAAAGCACCTTTTGCAGATGCCACATTCAAAAGGTTTTTCTCCTGTATGTATTCTTTCGTGCCTTACAAGAGCACTACGGGTTGGAAACCATTTTTCACAAACATTACATGTGAAACCTCTTTGCTGCATATGAACCGAAGAATGCCTATTTAATTGAATTCTCCTAGCAAAAGCTTTAGGACAATTTGGACATTGCCAAATTTTTAATTCTCCATCATCATCTTGTTGTATTTGTTGTGACTAGAAAAATAATTTTATATCTTAATAAAATGTTGTCACATTAAATGACAATTGTAATATTAATCGTAAAGATTTCTTCTTACAATTGTTGGAACATCTTCCTCAGTTAAAAGTTCCATAACCATAACTGAACCATCATCAGTTGTAACTTGAACTTGTGTAGTCTCCCTTTTCGGTTGTAGTTTTAAATGCAGTTCTCCTGAAAATCCAGGCTGTGTAGATAATGTAGATTTAACTAATTCTGCGATTGCTTCATAATTTTGGCTATTCTGGCTATCTGTAGTTTCCGAACTGGGATCGACATCAACATAATAAACTTGAGACATATCAAGTTCTTGTTCAGCTGGTTCCATATCAATAATTTCATTTTTTAATTCAGTCTTTAATGTACAAGCATCTTTATTCGCTTCTTCCATTTCTAAAGGTAATGTTATATTATCAGGATCTTCATATAACTCAGCATCAGGTTGAGCTAAATAAGTATTGTAGCACCTATAGTAAAAAAGGTGTTAACAACAATTTCTATAATTATTACCCAACTGTATTATTTAATGAATACCTAATAATTCACTCTCAGTCGTAGTTTGCTCTAAAGTTTGTATATTTCCATCTTCATTTGTTTCATCTTCAAGAATATCAGCAAGCAACTTTTTCACCTGCTGACTTTTATCTGATAAAGTCTTATCACACGGTTTGATCAATGCTGATTCTTGAACCATATCCTGACCCTCAATTTCATCTTCATCTTCAAGTAACTTATTGGAACTTGAAATTAGTTTCAAATGCCTTCGAAGTCTGTGATCTGAAGACTCACATTTCTTGCGAAATACATAGGACTTTTCTAATTGATATTTGCAAGCAATGCATATCATGTTTGGTAAACCATCATCTTCTACAACCTGAATAAGGTCACAGGTAGTAATAAGGTTTTATGATATATTTAAAAAAGCTAAATAGAAGTGTTGACAGGATATAAGTATTTATTATGCTCTTCACAAGTGTTCTTTATGCCATAAAGTGTTTTGACATGTATTGAGACTTAGTGGAAATTTTAGTCATGCAGGAAAAATGTTCAAATGCAGACTAGTGTTAAAAGTTTCTCCGATAAGGGTTCATTAAAGCAATTTTTATACAAGCATTTAATAAAAGGACTTAAGATAGATATAAAATATTAATGAATGCAATAAATAAATTGGCAAATATTTCATTTAAATTTAAAGAAATTATTTTTTTTAGTAGCACATTGATGGTATGGTCAATATAAAAAATATTCATAAACAAATAAAAGGTTTGGTGTGATCAGAATCATATTTTCAAAAACAAATTACCTCTAATGCAACACAGGCCATTATCCGAAGGGGTAGCGGAATAGGTTCTTCATCGTTGAATATATGTACTAATTCATCACTTCTTGTTAAACACAGTCTACACAATTCATTTAAGTTAATTATAACTTCGCCAGTTTCTTCACTTTTTTTTCTACTGTATGTTTTCATATTTAGAAATAGAAAACTGTTTCAAAATGTAGGAAACTGCAAAATTTACACTTTTTGCTGAATGCTGTCAAATAATCCTAGAAAACTGTATTACCGACATGAAGTTGGCTGCCATCTTCCTGTCGGTAATACTTCAGCTCAGAGTTGTAATATAACCTCAAATTTTAGAGGTAATAAAATTTGATAATATATTTGAAAGGTTATTGACGAATTAAAAAAATATTTTTATAAATATATTTTAGATCTTTAACAAAATTCAAAGAATTTCTCCTAATTTTAAGCTTTGATTTTGAAATATGCCGTATACAAGGACCCTATATGATCGACGTCCATTTTCAAATTTGACATTTCTTTTTAACCTCGAATTTGCATGTCTACATTGTCTACGCATTTTTCTTAATTATAAAAATTTATTATTATAAAGATTCATTTAAATTCAACAAATATTTACAATTACATCTGGCAATTATGCCACATAACTATATAATATTAATTTAAACAAATTAAAAAAAAAACATTGGATAGATTAGTAGATATTGACAAGTTGCTGTGTGTAGAATTGATTACGTCAAAACATAGTTTTAAAACAGTTTGTTAAAATTTAATTATTTTAGGATATGACTTAAAACAAAGTTTATTAAATCATCACAAATGAATACTATAATATGTAATTTAGTCCGAAGTACAGGTATTAATAATTATAAAAGTATTTAGAAAGGTTCAAAACCATATGTCAAATTATTGGAAGTTAAATTTCTAATATATTCGTGAAACTAATATTTTCTGTAATAATTTTTTCATATGTTTTCTGTGTAATGTTTATCAAAAACAAGAATTCCTTTTTTGCTTTTATATAATGTTGCATTGTGCAACTATTATTAATAGAAATTTTATATTATGATTAATTTATATATTATAAAATTTCTTACAGTTTCTCTCAGGATCAACTGCAAAATGAGTACGGAACAACCGGTACGTAGAGCTATCCAGGACAAATTGATGAAAGCGTTTGAACCTACCCATTTGGAGATCATCAATGAATCTCATATGCACAATGTTCCCAAGGGAGCAGAAACACATTTCAAAGTTCTCGTGGTTGCTGAAAAATTTGCTAATGTTCCTTTATTAAAAGTAAATTTTACAATTTATTTCAAAGATATCTTATAACTAATGTATATTATCATTCTTTTTTGTAGAGGCATCGTATGGTTAATGAAGTCCTAGGATTTGAGTTGCAGAACGGTGTTCATGCTTTATCTATTTTAGCAAAAACACCAGATCAATGGAATGTGGACGAACAATCTGTTGAACCTAGTCCAAATTGCAGAGGGGGTTTTGGAAAATAAATTAATTATGTGATAATTGTTGTATTGATTCTTAATATATTTACTTATAGTTGATTAGTATTAAGGTTTTATGAAATTCTTTGTTTGTACCATTGATTGTTGAATATATGATATTTGATATATTATAGATTTTTATAATATTTTTAAATATAAATTAGTTGTGATTTTAATAATAATGCACCATAGGAACAAAATATTTTTATCTTTTAAATATGAATTTTATAAAGCCCCTACATTAGAAGCAATTAACTAAGATTTCATTGTACAAGTTATATTTTATAAACCTGGTCAAAACATAAATAATTAACTCAAATAGTTAGTAAGATTTATAGTGATTGATTTCATACTTCCATATTCATGAACTAGGAAACTTCTTTAAAAATAAATTGAAAAATAAATGAAAATAATTCTGACGCGCGATTTCCATGCTGGGTGCACCATTTGGAAAGAGTTTTTCATGAATATTGAAACAAACCTATAATTTGCATAATTAAGAAAACATTGGAATTCCTCGATATTATGTTATGGAACTAACGACATATTTCTACAATGCATGTTAAACCTCTTTGTCATTGTGTAAATGTAAGACTTTTAAAACATGTATTGGAATAACAAAAACACAGCAAAAGAATTGACTTATATTAGAAGGATATTGTAACGATAATAGGCCTAGAAGGTAGACATGGACAAGTTATATTGTTTGATTCTTTCATTAGCCCAGTAATTCAGAGTCTAGGTTCAATGAATACAGGAATGTATAACAATTTGATTTGTAATAAAAATCTAATTTAGGAAAAGATTTAGTTTCATAGCTCCTGAACTAGGAGAAATTGCTTGTCGATAAAACATACAATAAAATAATTGAAAAATTAAATAAATAATATCTTGAGGGATACAACAAAAGAATTGACTTATATTAGAAGGATATTGTAACGATAATAAGCCTAGAAGGTAGACATGGGCAAGTTATATTATTTGATTCTTTCATTAGCCCAGTAATTCAGAATGTAGGTCCAATGAATACATGAATGTACAACAATTTGATTTTTAACAAAAAATCTAATTAAGGAAAAGTTTTAGCATGTTCCCAAAACATACAATAAAATAATTAAATAAATAGTTTGAGGATAAAAAGAGACTGTAAGTTCAAATAATTGCCATCATAAATATAATAATAGCTAAAAAGAAACTTAACAATAAATAATAGGGTTGGAACATAGAATATAGAAGTATACAAGTATCAAAATTTTGTAGACAGCACTAAATGATTAGTTTCAGCCAAAAAGTTAATCCTGTATTAAACTTCCACAGGTAATTACAGGTAACTTAGCAGGCGAGTTAAGGCGTTAAAAATTCTTAGGTGATCTCTCAGGTTTGGAGATAGTGATGCTAAATAAATAGTTCATAAAAGTTATCACATTCGAAAGAATACTTTGACTGAATATTATTACAATATTGGAAAATGATAAAAATATAATATAATTTATTATAAATTAAGAAGCCCATTTTCTATGATGAACACTTTGTTGGATTTAAAACTTACTTTGCGCTTAAAAAAGCAGAAACGGATAGGATTAAAATTCATAATTATTACAAAAGTCTTTATCAATATTTTTAAAAACTTTCTCATTAACATACTAACGTTTTTACAGCAACAAAAGAAATTACACTTCCATAACTAGTAGCACATATTTCGATACAGATATGCAAATTACATGCTTGAAATTTTTAAAAAACATCAAAAATATTAAAATTCCTCTCTACAATAAAGTGGGGATGTACATATACCACGTTTGCTGAATTTTCCTTGCTTTGTAATATATAGTGATAGAATTGTTCACCTCGAGGTCGGTTGAGTAAATCATTTCAAACAAATTCAAGCATGCATTGAAGTATGGTCGTTACTTTCGCGAGGACCATTTTCAGTTGCATATGAAAATGGAAGTGATCAGAAGCATTTTGTGTTTGTTCATAATAATCAGTGTTTATTTTGTGCTTTTGGATGCCAAGAGATTCGTGATAAATGGGATATCTGGTTTGTAAATGATACTTGAAATGATATAAAATCATTTGTACTTTTTTATGTGGATAATGATATAAGTTGATAGTTTTATGCGTTTATATATTAATATATAATTAATATATATTTTTAATATAATGACATAAGTTTATTATTAATTTCTCTAATTTCTGAGGCCTGTTTCTATCAAACAATTAGTATTGATTCTTAAAAAAATACAGAAAATGGAATACATTTTAATTAGATATTACCCAACGATGCATGTACTAGAAACAAATAATTAATAAATATTTAAATTAGTTACAAATAGTTGCAAATTATTTGTAAGTATATTTACTGCATCCTTTACACCAGGAAACATAAACATTTTGGTCATATATTTCAAGGCAAAAATATTTTTTATAAGAATAAGCGTAGATCTGCTGTTTGAAGAAACAAAGTTGATAAAAAAAATCAATACCAAAAATTAAGATCTTATAAAATAACTAAATCTTAGACAAGAAACTAGAGATTAAAAAATTTAATATAAAATTTAAATTATTAAATTATTCTTTATTAACCATAAATTATTATTTATTAAATTATAAAGATCTAAAACTTGCAGGGATTTTTTTTATCAATTTGAAAGCATTTGAGCTCCTGGGATTAAAGAAATTCAAAAATATCCATATTAAGGACTACCCTAATATATATATATATATATATATATATATATATATATATATATCCATCCAGATAATAGAAAGAAAACTAATTATTATTTCTAAAAAAACTCCTAATAGATCCCTTCACCAAGTGATCAGGATGGACGTCATTTATATATTTATTATAATTTTATAAATTAATTATAACTAACATGGTCGATTTCACTTTTTCAATCATTATTGTGTTTTCAAAAAAAAAATGTGTTTTTTCAACTGAAGAACAGTTAAATTGAGACACAAAACGTATTAAAGAAACCTAATTCATTTTATTATATTATTGTTTCATACAATATATTTTAGGCTTTGTCAAAATGACTTTTGTTAATTATTTTGCTATAATTGTAGTTATAATATATTATATATATCATAAAATCATCATAGTTATAATTCAAATTATTTAACTTAAAACGTGTCCCGGTATAAAAAATAACGTCTAATTCAATTTTCGAATGATATATAAAATAACAGTTGACAAATTTTGTAACTAATATACATAATTATTATTATTATACATAAATTAATAATTAATGAAAAAAATAATGATAAACTAAAAGAAAATTATAACCAACTTCGATTAAGTTATAAGAAGAAAAACTAGGTAATGTTTGAATTACCATTTTCGATAAATTTAACATACGTTTCGAACCCCAGTTTCTATCTTCTTTTATGGATAAAATACACAAATTATTTAAAGAAAAGCGAAACAAAATATCACATCAAATTAAAGATATGTATAATGGCCGTATTTATAAAAAACTATATTAAAAATTAAAGTAAAGTTGAACCATGTAGAGTTGAACCAAATAGAGTTGTGTGAAAATTTTTTTGAACATAACTTATAATAACTGGATGGACCCCTGTTAAAAAATTAGCTTATATATATATATATATATATATATATATATATATATATATATATATATATATATATCTTCTAACTTCTAACAATTCGTTATTATTAATTATATCTGAAGCGTAATGTATAGCCCATGTCGATTGTTTTGACCGTGAAATATGTTTTTATTCCACTTTCAAAATGTGGTAATTTTATCAACTTGGCTTACTTTCTACAAATATTATTACTTAATTGTTCAAAATATGTAACAAAAAATATAGATGTCTGTTATTTCCCGCATCACAATTTTGCAAGTGTCTGGTTTAAACGAGTGATGACTAAATTGACAGAATAATCGATAATAGTTCAATCAATATTGTTTCGTCAATTGTGGTTTTTAGTTTTAATGGTTATTAATTGTCGTAAAAGTAATGGAAAAATCCGAAGAAAGAAATTTATATATGTTTATATAATCACAAATAATCAATCTTGTTGCGTCACATTATTCAAATCAAAACTATGTTGTTTTTTTTTATTTTAGATGATGTAGTTAAAGACTTTTCAATCGAATATAATCACTATATGGAAACAAGAGAGATGACTCCTAGGTTGTCCCAAATTCTAAATGCCTTGGATTATGTTGATGTAAGTTTTGGATAAATTAGGATGTTGATTACTTTTTATATATATATTTGTATGAAGTTCTATGATGATTTTTCCAAACTACCTGACTTATTCAGAAGGCAACCCACTGGTTGCCTATTTCATGTATTTCATTATTAAATTTTCTCTAATAACGATGCTTTTTAATTTGATGATGCAATTCCGCGAAGGTGCCACTTTTACTGAAAATCTTATTGCCAAAATGTTGATACTAAAATACTTTAAAATTATTTATTCAAAATCATAAAACAAATACTGCAAGATTATTTTGAAAAATACAAAAAGGTGCAATAACATAATTACTACTGTCAATTATATTGATTAAGTCGATTTATACGTCAGGAAATTGCCTTAAGGCAAAATAGATATAATTGTCATAATAAAATAATTACTTTCATATTTACTTTCAACGTTATCAACGCAATAATAAATTCATAAGAACACATTTAAATTATTCCATTCTGTTTGTTAGAAAAATTTCAGTGACTTATGCGGAATATTTTCGCATATATATATGCACATTATTTTTTTATATTGTTGTTACATTTTAAATTAGTAAGTATACCATGTGTTGTTTATTGTCCACTTATGCAGTTATCGGTAAATACCACTTACGAATTTAAATATATGTTTAAAAAAACTGTAAAGATATAAATCAGTCTTTATTTAAAATAATTACGCAAACCGTATACCATAATTTAAAACGCATACTGTAATGAGATTATCTCTTTATCGCACCTTTATTGTTCCTTCATGCAAAATGTTATTTTTTGTGAAAAAATTAACTATTGTTTATATACTTTATCAACGAAATCAGTTACATGAGCATGTGACTTTTTTTTCAAATGTATAAAGAAGGTAAGCTTTCTTTTTACCTTTACTTTTTAAAAACAAACATTATTATAATTAGTTACGTCTTGTTTTAGCCTGAAGCTTTTTAAAAAATAACGGTGAATTTTTTCATATTCTTAGCCGAATCTTAAGAATATATATATGAAATGTGTATGCGATACTTTGATCTTTATTGACAATAATAAATGTAGCTATATAAATGTTTAAAAAAATGGAAATTTATTATTCTTAATATTTGTTATGAATTTAGATTGTTTTTCATTACTGCAAGAATGATAAATCGATTTTTCAATTTTTATTAAGGTATTTTAAAAGCATTAATAAATTGATAGTAATTAAATTTTTCATAGTAATATAGTGGTTTCTAAGATTTTTCACCCGCGCTCCCCTCCGGTTCTTATATCAAAAAATAGTTGCGCGCCCCTCCATTTTATTAACAATTTAATTTCATAATTACTCAACTAATACTATAATTTACTTAATGAGTAATTAAGTATGAAATGAATTTTAAATACCTATTTTTTTATTGCAGGAATCTAAGAATTGCATCTTATGCCACGCAGGAGTGGGATTTGCAATTGCACAAAGGCGGATTTTTCGCAAATCAGACGACGATATCAAAAATTTATTATTAAGCCTCTGTGTCACTTTAAGAATTCAGCCAAAATATGTTTGCAGTGGAATCTTGAACTTACATGTGGTAAAACAGCATAAATTCCAGATACATAATTATACATAATTTTCAAATAACCTATTTTTTACAAATTTCAGAAAATGTTCCTCTATATATTTGATAATCGGCCCAACTTGACCGAAGATCACGTTTGTGGTCTTTTGCTACAAAACAAAAAACTTGGTTGCGTTTTGGACGATCCATTATTTGACTGGTCAGTAAATGTGGATCAATCCAATGTACAGGTAAAAAACTAAAAATATAACAAATTACACAAATAGGAAGTTATCAAGGAAAGAAGTACGAAATATCGTCAAAAAAGAGCATACCATCCAAACACTAATAAAAGACCTGCTAAAACAAGTTCCTATGAGAAGATTAAAAAGAAAGTGGCCGCAAGATTTAATAAAAAAACAATCAATATATTTATGTAAGGAAATTCCCCACTGGGGAAATTTCTAAAAGCCCTGTACCTGTCAGCAAATAACCTCATTGAACCCAAGGTTCAGATTGGTTATAAGAAATAAATAAAAAAAAATACACCAATGTACAGCAATCATGAAATTAACCGTTCCATGAGCCATTGTGATGATACTTCTCCATAACAAGGTCGCTTTTCAGATGGCAACCCAACGGTTGGCCTTTCTCCAATACTGTTGATATATTTTTAATTTGATGCAGCAATGGCAAAAAGGGCTATTTCCACTTGGAAACATATTTCCATCTATTATAAATCACAAGAATCAACCTCTTTAATCAACTCCTTCTGTATTAGATTTATCATTACATAATGTAAAAACATCTGTCAAGGAAAGGAATAACGTAACTCACATTCACTGTATTCTAGCTAGATATTACTTCATAATCATAGAGAAAAAGTAATAGAAATAAAGTTAAGCTAAATCGATTGAATAAGTATAGAAATTTTATTGCATATGGTATTGCATGACTGTACTTTCTAATGGACGTTGCATATTTCTTGTTGATAGTTGTCGATTTTTCTGTGTCTGATGATAAAACTTAATTACTTACTTATAAGGTGACTGTATGATAACTACGTAGTAGATTGAAAATATTAACATACTCATTCAGAAATCTTTTATGCAGAACAAAAGATAATTGTTTGATGTGAATCTATTCATAATCTAATTTGTAAAGTCTGGTGTCAACTTATATTTTTGACATTTTTTGTCTGGCAAAGTTTATTCACTATTATAATGCATATTGAAGATTAACATATGTAAATATCACGCCATTAGATGTAATATCTCATTGATGCATATTGAAAATTATATTATGTTTCCTTTACTAGGCAGAATCCAGGGGAATTTTGAACGAAATGATTCATGCTACAGACCTCAGGATAATCCAAATTACAGATCCTCATATAGATAGAAAGTACAAAAAAGGAGCAAATGCAGTATGTGGTGCACCATTGTGTTGTCGAAGTGACCAGGGGACACCTAAAAGGCCCGAAGATGGTGCAGGCACCTGGGGCGATTATAGGGGCTGCGATTCACCCAGAATCGCCGTGGAAGACGCTTATGATCAAATTCGGAACCAACACCAGGTGAAAAGATAATTATTTAATTAGGAAATTGTCAAAATTAAATATAATCTAATGCTAATCCGAAACAAGAAAGGTTATGTCATAAACGAACAAATATCATTGACTGATATTTTATGGGTAGTTGTTATTTTATTAACAAGTAATTGCAAGGATTTAATTTAATTTAATTAACGTTTGATTTAAATCTATATTTTTCGAAATCCCGGGATAATCCGGGGACAAAAGCTCAAAATCCGGAACAAACTTTGCTTTTAGAAAAGCCCGGGACACAAGTTGGAGTTACAGGACTGCCCCGACCAAATCCGAATGTATCACCTTACTCTTAATGCTCAATAATTTTTTTATTGATATTATAAATAACAATCAAAATACAATAATTGTATAACCTATTATGAAGGGCATAATGAAATAAAACTATTATTATTTTTTAAAAAATGTATAGAAATCACCCAAGTGAGTGATTTTCTAATTAAGATTGAAGCAGGGCCATAGACCAACTTGAACATGCCTCATCCTTTGATCTTTTTTTTTTTGTTCAAATCGTTCCCGCATAAAACGTTACATATACTTCAACAATTTAATTTTTTTTTAATAGAAAACGTTTTACTAAAAGAAGTTTCTTAGGGTTTACTCGCAAAAGGTTGCACATACCTAAAGATTAAGGGTAGTATATTTGAAAATATATGCAAAATGATCATGCAAAAAACGACATATGATTTGCTAAGAGTCTGCATAAAGTTTTCCTGAGAATTTTGCATTTTTCCATCAAATTTATGAAAATTTGCTCAGGTATCGGCCAAACCGTTCTAAATACAAAGTTGTGGGAGAAAATTGAAATTTGAATTGAAAATTTTAGGACAAATGCAATGAAATATTTTGATCAACTTCTGAAAATTTACCGCTATTAAATTTTTCTTGTATAATTAGTTATGATACAACAACCCTACAAACCTCAATTTGGAAATCTGTATATAATTAGTATTATATTTAATTACTCTTTTAGCAGGTGTATTAATTATTGTTTAATTGAATCACGAGCTTCAAAATTAAATTATCACAGAAAAGTGATTAAGTTTGAAATTAAGCAATTAAGCAATAAACTCCTGAAATACCAAAAAGCCCATAAACGTTTTGCATAAAATTAAAGCAAATTATTAAAAATGCTAATTAAAACCAACCAATTATTATTACCATATCGATGTATCTACATATTCGACCACAAATTCTTTGAAAGAAAAATGTTTCAAAATCTATTCAAATAATTTCAAGTTTATGGCCTTCCAGCCGAAGTCGCAGTTAAATATTAAGTCATTGTGCATTTATTTGATTATGTTATTAAATGTTCAAATAAACAAATTAACATAGTAGATTTTATATTTCATGGATTGAGAAATAGGTCATAGTAAAATGCGCATTTTTAACTATATTCAAAGATATGGTTAAATCAATATAGAGTAAGGACAAATGATATCAAATTTAATCATTCCATACTTAACTAGTTTGAATTGTTTTGGCGGCACTTGTTAAGATTATTTACACGCAATTGAAATGTATTTTAAAAAGCAATTCAGTGCACGTATTTATATTCTATATCAACAATAGATTCAGTAAATATTCTATTATCATTGTCGGTAATGTCAATATGAAAGACTAGGATGTCAACCTTGTGCAAATGATAACAGTTTTGTACTTCAACTGCATTTAGCAAAATATGAATAAAGGTCCCAGAACTTAAAGATAATTGATCTAGGATTGACTGTAATAACTGTCATAAAAAAATTCCATGCATCTTGACAAAGATATAAGTAAGATTTAGTTAGAGCTTTGGTCAAACTCTAACCATTTTTTGGATATTGTGGTTAATTTTAATACTTTGTTTTCATTTAAATTGTATAATTATTGGGCTTTATTTTTTACATTTTTGTAGGAAACGAACGAGTATTGCAGCATTTTATAATCCTTGAGCAAACTTTTAATGGCAGCTGCCAAGGCACCTTACAATTTAAAAAATGTTAAATTAATAGTCTCTAAAACTTTGGGAAAATTTAATCTCTATTTTTGACTGTGGTTCTAGAAATGTTATTTAGGGTTAAGGTTCCACAGTTTAAATGAACAAAAATAACAAAAAAATACCTCAATAACCAAAAAATGGTTTCAGTTTGACCAACGTCTTACGTCTTACTTAAAAGCTCATAATTTTCAAACTTCACGAGATTTTTATTATATTTTTTCCTGTCATCCTGTGACCCCGTTTCGCCTTGTCCTTGAGTTCTGGGATATCCTGTATATATTTTTTTTATAATCCGAAATGTAATTTTCTTTTCAGAGAATTGATCTAATTTATTTTACCGGAGACATAGTAGAACATGGTGTTTGGGAAACATCCATAGCTGGCAACAGGGACAAAATTAAAACATCTTTAGCCAAAATGCGAGAAATCTCACCAAATTCAATGATCATTCCAATATTAGGAAACCATGAACCACATCCGCTCAATGTGTAAGATAATAGAATATAGAAATTGTCAGTTATAATTATTAGTTGGCCAAAAATATAATTTATTTTATCATCTGGCTCAACATTTTCAAGTCATTAAAATTGGTATTTACCTAATATGTTTTATAGGTATGCTCCAAAAAATGTGCCTCAAGAATTCAGCACCCAATGGCTTTACGATTTAATAGCCCAGGAATGGCCACCTCTACTTCAAAATCGATTAAATAACGTGGATACAATCAGACAAGGTGGTTACTACACACTCCTGGTGCGTCCAGGATTTCGAGTAATAGTTCTTAATAACAACGTGGCATATGTCTTCAACTGGTGATCTCTTTTATTTTGTAACAAAATTTGTTTGAATTATTTTTACTAAGTTTTATTAACTAATTTAGGTGGTTGCTGTATGATCCAGTGTTCCCAAAAGAGCAATTGCAATGGTTGCATAATACACTTTTATTAGCAGAGCAAAATCGTGAAAAAGTTCATATATTGACACATATTCCGTCAGGTGATCCGACTAATTTTATTACTTGGGATAGAGAATACCATCGAATTATTGAAAGGTAATAAAAATCAAGTAATAAATTAAGTTTATCAATAACTAACTAGATCAACTTGCATTATCTTATATGTTTGAAATAAATTATAAGTGGAAAAATATGTTGAAGTTAATATGGAACATTAATTGTTCTCCCACCGCTGCCACCATGTGAAGAAATTTTAATTATTGGTTCTCTTCTTGATATGTAAAAACAAACACTTTTTATGATTTATGTGTTATATTTTAAATTATAACTTACATGATTGAGTAACAATCATGTAAGTTATAATAACGGAGAACAATATATTAAAATTTAGTTGAATTTAATTTAACATAAATAAATTTTGTATTATTTTGGGAATAGGAATACCCAATTGCAATCATTATCAAACCAACAACAAAATTCTCAGATTTGCTAGTCTGGGATTTTAATAAAACTTCTCATATTTATAAAGATGATTAATAATATAAAATAATTTAATACTTGTTTCTTTTAGATTTTCTAATATTATAACAAATCAATTCAATGGACATACACACGACGATGAATTTACATTATTCTACAGTTCAAGTAATAAAACAAAAGCAATAGCTTCTGCATTTAATGGAGGCAGTATTACTACTTTTGAGCATAGAAATCCTAATTACAAATTATATTATGTCAGTCAAAGAACCTTTGTAAGTAATAAAAATGTTACAATTAATAATAATTAGAAAAAAAAACAAACTGATCAAATTTTACAAACATTTTTAAAGAAATTGACTCACGCACAAATATTTTTGATTAAATGGAGTTTAGCCTAAAAGCACTCTTTATCGAATATTATCTTTTAGTCATATAGAAAATTCAGCAAAGTCAACTAGTAATCACGAAACTCCAGTTCAAAACCGCGTTTAGGACAACCTGATATCAAGCAGTAGTTAGCCAGGGAAAAAAGCCTTTTCCAGCACTTCTGCATTAGGTTAAAAATAATCTCTAATTAAAATACTATTTCAAAAATTTTTTAATTTAAGAAAATGGGATGTAGCTAATAAGTATCATCAACTTTTGAGTTCTGAGAGTTGTCCAAAAACAAATAATATTTTTTAATATTCCTTTTCCTCTAGAAAGTTGTAGAACACGAATCTTGGATATACAATTTAACAGAAGCAAATTTAAATGATTACCAAAGGCCAAGATGGTTCAAAATGTATTCATTCAAAAAAGACTTTGGATTAAAAAACTTGGAACCAAGTGAACTTAGTAAATTGGTACAAAAGATGTACTCAGATAAAAATTTGGCGTACAAATACTTCTCTTTCAAAGTAAAACAAGCAGATTCAGCATTGGAAAAAGGCTGTGATCATAGATGTCTTAGAAATCATTTGTGTACTATTTTAACATCGGTACCAAATGAAGAACAAACGTGCCATATTGTGAGTAAAAATAATAAAATTATAAAATTTATTGAAAAATTACTAATTTTATTAATTTTATATATTTCAGATGAATTCAAGGTTTGGTAAATCAAACTTTCTTTGTAAATTTTTACGACTAATTACTTTGGGAATAGTGGACATATGTAAAGGATTATGAAGGAATAGCAAATTTTTTTTTGACTATTTTAGCTGTGATTAAATCAAACCTAAAGTACAAATTGATGCAATTATAAAAATTAAATTGCATTTTATTTTATGTAATAAAAAAATTAAAATAACTAATATTTATTTTGATTAGACTTAAATAAATTGGAAATATTTATCATTTGAAAAAAGTCAAATGTTTTATTTATTTTTAATAGATGTATGAATTCGTTAAATTTTAGTGAGTGGTTTATATAAATATTGATGTTCATGTATATATTAATTAGATAAAAATATCTTTAATTAATAAAAATAAATATTATGTACCTTCTTTTATATTATATTATGTAAATTATAATTTTGTTTTTCTGAATTTAATTTTTTTTTAATACATACATACATATTTATAAATTTTGTAAGTATTTATTAATGTTTAATGAGTGTTTATTTTATTTTATTTAACCCGTAGGGTAAGTTTGTGTTGTTTTTTCTCGAGGAGGTGCAATTACAATTTGTTTCTAAAATGCAAAAAACATTTAGTAATTATAAAGGACAATATGTAATGTTAAGACCAAAATAGTGTTTACTCATAAATAGTACATATTTATTAACTACATAGTCTAAAAAAAATATTGCATCTCTTACAGCAAAAAACTGCGCCTTATTTGAAGCAACATTGTTGCACAAAAAGTTAAACTCTGTTCTGCCTTATTTGAATAATTAACTAAATACTTATTTAGTACATGTTTGTAATATATTTTTGATTTATATCACGAACGATAATGACAAATACTTTATGACTGCATAACAACCTGTTGCTCAACGTTATTTTCATGTCGGACTAATATGCATTTAAGGTAGAATCTATATTTATACCTATATCAACCTATATAAACAATGATATGAATATTGGCGCAAATATTAAAGTTGCTATTACTGCTGATGATAAAATTTAAATGTTAGTGGGGATAAAAACAGTTCATTTTTGTCTTTGAGGCGTGCGAGAACGAGAACTCGTTTTATTTATAAATGATTTAATTCAGAAGCAAGGCAGTTATGTAATTTTTTGAATATATGTGATAAGAAAAACATTTAAAATTATATTAGTGTTAAGTAGAATTTACGTGAAAGTAAGATGTGGGTTTATTTTAATAGAATTTTTGCTGCGGTGTTGATTATATTGGCAGTGTCAGCAAGGGAATCGAATTCCCAAAAACTTACTGTTGATGGATTCAAAGGTATGATAATAAAAATTTTACTAAACAAAATAAAAAAAAACTCAGAATTATATTTAATACTCTGATGAACTATTTATGAACATAAATTTAAGAAAAAACAATGAAATATATGTTATTAGGTGCATAAATATAATACTACCATTTTTAATACTATAGAAGTGTTTAATTTTAATTTAGTTAGAATTAATGCAGAACGCAAAAAAGAAAACGTTCCTAATTCTGCTTACTTATTAAATTTTTCGTTTGTCACAATTATTTCAAAATGCAAAAGAAAATTACCATTCTGCTTAGCAAATGATATTTTTACTTAGTTCTTAATTAGTCGAAAACGCAAAAAGTTATTCCCATTCTGCTCAGGTAGCATAATTTCAGTATGTAATTAGAATAATAATAACAGTTCTAATGATTTCACAAACATGTACGAAAATTCATTAATATTTTTAAAGTGATATGTTTATTTAAAATATTTTTCAAAACTAATAACGTAATTATAGTTAGTAATGTTCTAGCCATATAACAAAATAAAGGAAGTAAAAATTTAAAAAACATACAAAAATTAATATATGAAAATAAATATTCAAAAAATAATGCAATTTAAATAATGATGTTATAACTATTTATACATTTACATGAAATTATTAGTTTTAATTATTTTTCAAGGTGATCCTATAGAAGAATTTCGTCAGGAATATTCTACGTTTTTAAAAAAGGGCGAAGTATCAAAGAAGTTACAAAAACTTACTGATTTACTATTAAAACCGAGTGATGTAAGTGGATATAAATTAATATCTATATACTTACTTATATATTTTTTTTATTATTATATATTATAATTAAAATTTGAAAGATATCTTACCATACAATCGAAAAAACTACTTGTTTTCCATACAGAATAAATTTTGTATAATTATTAAGCACTTAAAATTAGTAAGCTAATTTAAATGCTTTGAGATAAACTTTCAAAATATCATTTAAAATTTAACTTATGACATAATATATTTATTATTTTATTTTTAGGAAAATGATTGTGCAAAATGCCAAATCCTGGCAACATTTGCAATCGAAAGAAGACGTAATGGGACATCAAATGCAGAGATGAATTCTTTGATGAATGATATGTGTATACGATTTAAATATATGGATAGAAAAATGTGTGAAAACATGATCTATATGCATTTGGTATGTAATAATAATTATCTAGACCATATTTTCTCAAAAAAAAAAAATCCCCTTGAAAACTGAAAAATTGGACCCCTTTCAATATTTTTCTCTCTGGAATAGACCTCTTAAGCACGAATTAAGATTTTTGTAAATTACTAACTGTACTACCAAAATCTTCAAGTAAAACACTTGTTAAGTTTATACACTCATTGAATTTAAAATAACGAAATGAAGTAATCAATAAATAATTGTTTTTAACATAAAGAATTAATATGATGTTTATTATTGAATTATCAAAATATATGTTGATCATCAAAACGAAAATTTCGAGATCCATGAAATAAAAATGATGGTTCACATTACATAGACACCATTATTTTTATTTCATGGGTCCTGAAATTTTTGTTTTGATGACGTAAACCGGTCTAGACCCCTGAGGGTCATATAGATCACTTTGGAATCTAGACTATCATCAGAATTATTTAATAACAAATTAGTGGAAAATTAATATGTGTATTATGTATTATGCGTTGTGAACAAATATTGTTAGAAAATAATAGTTACCAGTCAGTTTGTCGACAAAGGAAACTGAAGTTACATAATCTAGTAATATCCAAAGAATAAAAATAATAATAATTTTATTAGGAAATGTCGTGAAAAATTTATAATTAATATTTTTCATATTTTATTAATTTTCGTTTATTTCAGGATATCGTACTATATATAATTGATAACACTCCAGGGCTAACCAGTAGCCAAGTTTGTGGCCTTGCATACCATACAGGACATTGTACCCTTACTGATCCCAGATTTGATTGGAAAATTGATATTGATAACAATAAGCCAATAAATATAGTAAGTGAAAGTTAAAATATATGCAGGCATACAATTTGGAACCAGACACAAACAAAGACTGACGCCCCATTTGAATCTGTTAACCAAAAATGATCACAACCATCAATACTAATTTTATTTTATATCTATTACATTTTTTCACTTACTCAATAGCTAGCTTCTAATCGAAAAACCGAGATTATAACAATTACCACTAGAACATCCAACTAAAGAGTTTTTATCTACAATCAACTAAAGTGTTTCTTCTTCTAATCAACAAATCCTCACAATTTAATGGTATTTATTTCCAGCCAAAACCCAATCTAGTCAACCATATAACATTCAACATCCTCCATTTGTCCGATATACATTACGATCCAAAGTATGAAGAAGGAAAAAATGCATTATGTGGACAATCAGCCTGCTGCAGGAATGATCAAGGGCTTCCTAATCACAAGGAGGATGGTGCAGGAAAGTGGGGCGACTACAGGGGCTGCGATACGCCCAAGAAGGCGATGGAAGATGCTATTCAGCATATAAAATATAAACACCGGGTAATAATAAAATATTTATTAGTTATAATTATTTGACTCAAAAATGTGTTTCCAAGTCAAAAAAGACTTTCCCAGGTATTGCTCCTTTGAAATAAAAATATATCATCAGGATTAGGGTTAATTCTATTAATGAAAACATATTATAGATAGGTCAATCGTTGAGTTGCTTTCTAGTTTCTTATAGAACTGTTAAGATATCTTAACCATATATATGATTGCTGCACAAAAATAGGACAAGGTATAAGGATAACTACTTTAAATATTTAAATTATTAATATTTTCTCCTTGTTCAATAGGATATCGATATTGCTTATTTTACTGGAGATATGATAGATCATGCCATGTGGGAAACATCGACCGAAAGCAATATAAAAACAATGAAAGAAGTGTTAATTGCTATTTATCCACTAGCTCCTAAATTATATCCAGTTTTGGGTAATCATGAATCACATCCCGCCAATTTGTAAGCAATAATGAAAATAGACATGTCATAAATTTCAAACTGTAGGATATCTATATAAGTAATATTTCTTTTATTTTCAAGATTTTCTCCAACAAATGTTACTGATACGGTTAGCACCCAATGGCTATATAATGCATCAGCAGATGTGATCAGCTTATTTATGTCTAATAAAGCTGCTGAGACAATTAGAAATGGAGGTTATTATACTGTACAACCTAAACCTGGACTACGAGTCATAGCTTTGAATAATAATGTGGCTTATATTTACAATTTGTAAGTCAATTACAAAATATTTTATTACGTCTGAATAAACTGTTTGTATAAATCTGTATTAATACCAAGGTGGTTACTGTATGATCCTGCATTCCCCAAAAAGCAATTGCAATGGTTACATGATACTCTGTTAGAAGCAGAAAGAACTAATGAAAAAGTGCACATTTTGGGACATGTTCCTCCTGGTGAACCCACTAACTTCATTACTTGGGACAGAGAATATAGGCGCATCATCCAAAGGTAATAAAAAATAATTTTATAGTTTCAAAATGTGAATTATTAATAACTTGGGGAAATGCACTATTTTTTTCAGATTTTCGCATATAATAACAGGACAATTCAATGGCCACACACATAATGACGAATTTAAGATTTTCTATGATTCTATGAATTCATCACATCCTATTAATGTTGCATTCAATGGAGGAAGTATTACAACTTACGTTAACCGAAATCCGAATTATAAAATTTATAAAGTCAACGCAGCAAATTTTGTAAGTATTTAGTAACAAATGTATATACAATTATTACCTCAATATATATTTATTCAGGAAATCGTCGATATTGAATCGTGGTACTACGATTTAGCCGAGGCAAATAAAAATTCTATTGTAAACCCAGAATGGAAACAAATGTACGGTTCATTCAAGACAGAGTTTGGCTTAAATTCATTGAACAGTTCAGAGATGCACAGGCTTGTATTGAATATGAAAACCAACAATAAACTTGGAAAAAAATATTTTGAATACAAAGTTAAACGTGCTGATCCTGAATTAAAAAAAGGCTGTGATAAAACCTGTCTTAAAAATCATTTGTGCGCAATAGTTACCACAGTTGTATCAGATCTCATCCAGTGCAAAAATGTAAGTTATTATAAAAAGTAATGGATTCAAGAACATTCTTGCAATAAATGAAAATTATTTATTACAGATCATCAAATCATCATCAAGCATTCTTCAGCATTTGAATATATATGTCCTAGGAGCTATTGTAATTTCCAATTATTTATTATTATAAAGTCATTTTTGTTAAGTTATTATAAATTTAGAATAAATCATTATGTTGGAAATATGTAAACGCTTTGAAAAAGCTAGGATCAAATCAAATATTTTTAGAAAAATACGAAAAAAAACAATTTAGTAAAAAAAACTTATTTGTAAAGTGAAATAAAGATATCTATATATTTTTATTGAATATAATTTATTATCTTATAATTATTCTTATTATGTACAATTCAATATGTTTAATATCTAATAAATAGTAACTCATCATAATGAAATTAAAGTTAAAATCTATTAATTTTTGCTAGCAGGCGACACCAAAGTGACCAAATTAATCAATTACGAAATACCATCTAATGCAATCCACTCCAAGTCTCGTTTTTCCACAAATTCCTCACTCGTTATTTTATCAAATAATGCAAGCTATAAACAAATGCATTATAATAATAAAATATTAATTACTATATAAGTACTATATTTTATTATTATAAATTTTCACCTGTTTTCTAACATATAAGACTAGTTTTTCGACAACTTCAGGATCAACATATCTCTGCTCAAAAAATCTCCTCCAAATAGCAGCAGCCAAAACCATATCATTTGAACCTAGTGCTTCATCATAACCAATTAAGGCATATTGAAATTGTTGTGACAAAATTTGAATTTGTTCTCTAACACCACGGCTATTGACATTCTACAAAAGAAAATTACATTTCTAATAAGAATGTCAATTTCACTTTCAGGGAACTGAAAAGCTATTCATTTGCTTCTGAATCAAGTTTACCCTAAATTGTTTGGTTCTAGTTGCAACATCAGCCCACAATGCCTCAACAATATCATTTCTCATTTCTCTACCGATACTTCCTTTCTCACATCCTTCAGCCATTGCACGAACTAGCAGCATCCAGACATGAAGTTCGGTTATAAGAAACCATGAATTGAAAGTATCTGGCATCTTACATACTTTAAAAAAATATTCATAATCAATTTTATCTGCTACACTTTCGTACATCAGATAGGATGTAACTTTCCTGCGCTACAACATATAAAAGCAATACTTACACAAAGTCACCTGGATAATGAAATTTCTATAATTCACTAGATTTAAAACAATCTTTTAATAATTGTTGCAAAGTTAAATTATAGGTTTTTTGAATCACTCTTTTGTTGTAATGATTAATAATTTGCTATCAGCATCTTGGGTAAAAAAAAGATTTTAATTGGGAGTGTTAGCAAGTAACCAATCAAAACCAATTTTATATATGTATTATTAATATAAATAAAGGTATAATAGTTTTCTTTTTGAAAATGAAATCGTCTTTAAAAATAAAGCATATTGTTGCAAAGATAAATTATAGGTTTATTGAATCACCATATAATTTATATTTTGTTGTAATGCTCTATAATTTTCTCTTAGCATCATGGATAAATGAAAAATTTATTTGAAAAGTGTTATCAAATAACCAATCAAAACCAATTTGATGTATGTATTGTCTTTAAAAATGAAGTATATTTAGCTTTCTTCATTAAGAAGGTATTCTAGTGTAAAAATTCATAAAAATCGTTTTTTTTAGTTCATATTTTCAAAGTTTAAGTATTTAAGAATATGTGTACCAAAGAATTTTTTAAAACTTATATTAATTTTAAAGATACAGCTGTTTGACCATGATAATCCTCTACTGTTTCCTTCCTTTTGCAAAACTTTAAACACGTTTTTCTCAAAACTGTCTTCTTCAATACGAGGCTCACGATTTCTTGAGTTCTACTGAACCAATTCACTTGAAATTTTCTTTATAGACTTCTTTCTGGCATATACCAGCCTCATCCGCAAACTTATATTATTAATACTTTCAAAAAATTTGCAGAGACTACAGAAAGAAATTGTTCCTATTTGTCCAGTCACTATTTTTCCAGTCAAAATTTATTTCTTAACTTAATCCATGTATATACCATTGCTACATCATTCTAGAATAATAATATTTTTTCTTTTTTCTAATAGAAGGGCTGCAAACGTGGCAACGATTACATGTCAATATTTTGGAACACTACAACAGCTGCTAATTTTCAAAATCATTAACTTATTTACTCTTAAGTTAACTAATTAATTAACTTAACTTAAGTACTCTTGTAACGTTGATTAATTATAAAAAAAAAGTGATCGCCCTTTTTCTACGAGGGTAAAAAAGTAAGTAAAAATGACCTAAAATCATAGACCTTATTCTACATAATATATAAGGAAGTATAAGGTCCTGTTTAAAATTCATTCTTCTACACAAGAATACCCCCTTAAGTGTATAGTTTATAACTCTTAAGTATAAGGTCCTGTCTAAAATTCATTCTTCTACACTAGAATACCCTCTTAAGTGTATAGTTTGTAATTCTTAAGTATAAGGTCCTGTCTAAAATTTATTCTTCTACACTAGAATACCCCCTTAAGTGTATAGTTTGTAATTCTTAAGTATAAGGTCTTATCTAAAATTTATTCTTCTACACTAGAATACCCCCTTAAGTGTATAGCTTGTAATTCTTATCCGTTTGTGTATTCAAATCAATTTTCTTAATAAATTAATGAAAGACTTACCGTTCGTGAAATATCCATCCATCCCATTTTCTTCAAAATTCTTTTTAAAACCCCTTCATCATTTTTTTCTGTATATTTTATACTTGATGTATATATTCCTCTATGTTTAAGCACGACATTATATTCAGGTTTAAAGTCTTGCACTAATTTTAAAGTCGGGCACAAAATTGGCAAACTCTGAATCAATAATTATTAGTTAGTAAAATTATTTTTATAATAGAAATAGAAATATAAAGGCTTACTGGTTTTATACTGAAGTTGCTTATTGGAATAAACGATCTTAACATCTTGATGTTTTGCATAATGATGAATTAATTATATTTGCACAATTAAACTTAAATTAACAACTAAACAATAATATAACTTTATTTGCCTGTCATTTCACTGTATTTACATAATTTATTTATAAAAATAAGTCAAACGCATTCCATAACACATCAAAACATTTTTAGGTTAAGTTATTCCACAGGGCCACAGGGCTGTCAACATAATAAAATGAAATTCATTTTCTTCGATCGACTTTCGGGAGATTTGAAAACTTTAGCTAAAAAAAACGTAATCGTTGCACATTTGATTCCTCTGACATATTCATTGTCTGTATTTTTATTATATTATTCTTTCATAACAACCTATAAATCCATTATGAGCATTTGCTGATTAATAATTTAACAAAAAAATATGAATTATCACGAAGAGCAATGCAACGAAATAGAGGCTTTAGAATCTATTTACTATGGGGACCTGGAAAGTTAGTATGAATTTTAGGTTATATATTATATATCAATATTCATATAAACATAATTATTATTCAGTTCTAGATAAAGAACCTTTTCACAAATTCAAAGTACCTATAAAATCTGAGGAATACACAGCTGAGTCACCTGAAGGATTAGCTTGTTCACTTATATTTACCTACACCAAAACTTATCCTGATACACCTCCAGAAATAGAAATAGAAGATACTGAAAATTTTGAAGATGTTGATGAAAATGAACTTAAACAACATATGTTAGAAGAGGTAATAACATTTTGAGGCAATATTCATAATATTTTAACTGGTGACACATAATTATTTCAGGCAAATAATAATTTAGGTATGGTAATGATTTTTACCTTAGTATCAACCGGTCAAGAATGGCTTAATGTTCAATGGGATAATTTAAAAAAAGAACGTGAAGAAGGAATTATAAGAAAACGAGAAGCAGAAGAAGAAGCAGAAAGAGTAAATCAATATACTATTGTCATTTACTTTGTATTCGAATAATATATTTTAATCCCTATTTCCTTATCTATGCCCTATCTATTGTAGAAAAGATTTGAAGGAACACGTGTGACCGTAGAAACTTTCCTAAAGTGGAGAACAGCCTTTGAATTAGATACAGGCATAACCAGTAAACGAGATAAAGATTTAAAAGACAGTAAAAAACTTACAGGAAAAGAGCTATTCTTAAGAGATACCACTCTTAATGAATCTGATCTCAAATTTCTGGAAGAAGGTATGTAAATTCATCTCTTTTTTTCACATTGAATGTAAATCTAATTTTTATTCTACAGGTGCTGATTTTGTTAAAGTTGATGAATCCCTATTCCAAAATCTTGATGATTTGGATTTAGATGATGACGATGATGATGATGAAGATTATGTACCTGGAGACAGTGATGAATCATAATTTAAGATGCATTTAAAAGATTCAAATAATTTGTTAAACTGTATCATGTCAATCATAAAATATGTTACATTGAACATAAATCTCTTTGAGTTTGCTGCTGTACAATAAGAATATGAACGAAATAATATACTTCAATAATTATGCTTTGAAACAAATATTTTATAATAAATAATTTCATATAAAATGTTTCTAAATGTATTATTTGTTCATCAGTAAACTGTTCATGGCCCACACCTTCTTAATTTGATCTTTTTTTTTAAGCTTTGTTCCAATTTCAATTATATAGTGGCAAACATTCTGCAGTTATACCAGGAGTGTCCATAAGCACAGAATGTGGAGCACAACGCCAGGGATCATTTGTTTGTTGCTGCCAAGAATGTAGTCTCTTCTTCAGTTCTTCAAATGTATCCTATAACAATATAATGAATTTGATATCTGCATTACTAATTTAAGTTCTTATTATGCATTAGTAACCTTTATATCTGGCTTTCCAGCCAAATTCCTCAATTCCTCTGGGTCATGCTTAACATCATACAATTCCCATTCGGGCCTATTATAGTATGATTTAAGATTGCGGTACCATGGTAAAGCATCTTTATCTCTTGTTCGATTCAATATATCCTATGATTTCAAAATTTAACATAGTCTTTCAAAATTTGTTTATAATAATTGTTTTATACCTCAAATGTTGGGGATACATAAAGGTCTTGATCAATGGGAAAAGGTGCTTGATAGTTCAAGTTGTGTATCAATTTATAACGTTTGGTTCTTATTGCTCTCATTGGATAGTACATTGTGACTTCATGATGTGTCTGACTGGCAAATATTGCCTCATTTGGATTCTCAGGAGGTTCTATAAAAAAAATTCAATAGGAACACACATTTATATATGTTTAACACTCAAACAAATACCTTCATTTAACAAATTAAGTAAACTTTTTCCAGTCAAAGTTCTTCCAACATTTACATCATTAGTTTCAAGTCTGCTTACTCCTGGTTCTGAAATATTAAACCAGTCTAGCAGGGTTGGTGTTACATCTAAAAGACTTGCTAATTCATATGTAACCTAAATCACAAAAACATCAGTCATCACAAAGACTTGTTTAGTTTATATGTGAAACCTATGAAGTATTTACTTGATTTCTACGTTTCTGACCAGGGGCTGACATAAACATTGGCTCAGCCATTCCTGAATCATAAAGATTAGTCCTACCACCAGGAACTGGTGGGCCATTATCTGATGTGTAAATTACTAAAGTATCATCAGCATGGCCTGCTTGTTTTAATTCTTCCAAAACCAATCCAACACCTGAAAATGTAACAGTTTAAGTTACTAGAAAGAATAACTAATTATTATAATAATAAATTAATTTATAATAATTATTATAAAATGTCTCTACCTTGATCAAGTCTAGAAATAGTTGTGTATTGAGCAGCTAAATCTCTGCGAGCTGGTTCGGTATCTGGTATATAATAAGGTAATTCCAGCTGATCCCATTGGTAATAAATTGGATGCCAATCTGGGATCACTCCCATACCCTAATAGGATAAATAGATCAAAATTGTGTAATTTTTATTACAATTATTATTCATCTTACTTCTTCTCCAGAGCCCCATCTTTCACAATAACTTCCATATTGTGGAGTAACATGACCACAACGATGAGGATCATGAAAAGCTACATATAAAAGGAATGGCCTGAAAAATAGCAAGAACACTTGTAATAAGAAGTATTATTGAAATCCTGTTGCACCAAAATCATATTTGATAGTCTTACTGTTTTCCATCATTTTGTTTCAGAAACTCTCGTACTAATAATTTAATAAATGTTATGTTACGTCCAACTTGATTAATTGGATGTTGATTCTCTGTTTGTTCGTAGTCAAATTTAAAAACTTCATCTGGACCCACATGTTTCTTTCCAATAATGCCTGGAAAACAATTGCTGTAGTAAAACTAAAATTCTTACAGGTTTTTGAATAACCATGATTGTGGTCACATACAATAAATATATAAAGTACTAAATATATATTATTTACCGGTTCTTATTCCATTCTCTCTCAAAAGATTTGGTAAGCTAGTTATGTTACTGAATGAGTTAAAATGATGTACCCCATGGTGCAATCCATACATTCCATTCTGGTGGCTTGGTTGTCCAGTTAACAAAGAAGCACGACTAAAAAAATAATATAATACAGTATTTACGATTTTTAAAGTTGTATTTGTAAATATTTTACCTTGGAGAACAACTGCTAGACGATGTATATGCATTATTGAAAATCAAACTTTTTTTAGCCAAAGCATCTAGGTTAGGAGTTTGACAAATCTTTTCTCTATAAGCACCAATTTCAAATCCGCCGTCGTCAGCTAAATTAAAATGAAATAATCAAAATTAATAAGTGTAAATGCATTCTCAGTATAAGTGTTGTCATGTAGTTATATTGATATAAAAATTAGTGATAAAACCTCCAGTTAATCATCGATGTACGACAGTGTTTGACACGTCAAGAGACTCGGCTTGTTCAAAAGGAATTTTAAGGGTATGTTATTGAAAATTCACGAACCTAATAATATAACTGCATTTTTAATTGTATTTCCTGATGTTAGCTGTGTTTTGGCTAATATAAAAAACCATGCGAAAAATATATTCAAACAGGTTAAAGTGTACTGCATGGTGAAGAGTTCTAAATGCTTTTTATGTGCTACTTATATATACAACTACCAGCTCATTATTATTTTTTTTTTATATATTATCAACTGGTTCTCAATCCACTTAAATTAGACCAGGCGCTGGCGCGGTTCGAAATAAAAATATAATCAGGGGGAAATATTCTTCATGTTGACCTCCCAAACAATTCGCCGGTTTCCAAAATTTAATTAACCCTGCTAATTTAAATTGGCCCCTGTTAGGAATTCTATACTCCACACTAGGGCTCCAATAATAACACCATAAGTTTGAAGGGGGCGTCAAGGGGACTTAAATCTTCATCTTCAACTGAGGCACCAATTGCGAAAAAATAACACTATAAATTTGAAGGGGGCGTCAAGGGGACTTAAATCTTCATCTTCAACTGGGGCACGAATTGTGAAAAAAAACACCATAAATTTGAAGAGGGCACCGAGGGGTCGTTCAAGTATTATGTAAGCAGGTTTATTACAATTTTTTACCCCCCCCCATCCCCCTTGTCAGCAAAAGTAAGCAAAGCACTTACCCCCTACCTCCATGCTTACGTAAACATTTTGCAATTAATGTAAAAAAATAAAAATACTACCTATGACGTAATCACCATTTAGACTCCCCTGCCCCCCATGTCACCCAAAATAAACAAATCAATAACCCCCCGCCCCCCTATAGTGCTTACGTAATACTTGAACGGCCCCCAAGGGGTTGTGATTTAAATCTCCATGTTCAATTCAAATTTCATGAACGAATTCTAAACTTTTAGGGCTCCAATTGCCCAAGAATAATACCATAAATTTGAATCGGGCGTCAAGGAAGGGGATTTAAATCTTCATCTTCAATTCAAAAACTTATTCCATTAGATGAAAGAATTCTAAACCTCACACAAGGGCTCCAATTGCCAAAAATGACACCATAAATTTTGAAACGACGTCAAGGAAGTGGGATAAACTCCAATAAAAAAACTTATTTCAATATTTGAATGGATTCTAAACCCAAGGGCTCCAATTTTGAATGGGAGGTCAAGGGAATGGGGTTTCAATCCTAATCTTTAATTCAAAAACTTTTTTCAATATATTGGAAGAGGGTGTCTAGAGGGTGGGATTTAAATTTTCATCTCTAACCCAAAACCTTATTTCTATCAAAAAACTTCCTAGTAAATTTTTCGTGCAAACTCCATCCAGCGCCTCGTCTATAAAGAGTGGGATATACACTTTCTAATATAGTTTCTGCAATTACAATCCCTTCCAGGTACCATGGCCTCAAGAGATCAAAAAATAGTTTTATTTGATGTCGACGGAACATTGACCGCTCCGAGATGCGTCATAACTCCCGAAATGGAAAAATTTATTTTGGAAGAAATAAAACCAAAGGCCACAATAGGTCTGGTGGGGGGCTCTGACCTTGAAAAAATGAAGGAACAAATGAATGGAGAAAACGTTTTGAAAAATTTCGATTACGTTTTCCCCGAAAACGGGTTGATTCAGATAAAGAATGGAGTGGAAATTGGACGAGTTTCCATCCAAAAGCACGTCGGAGAAGAGAAGTTACAAGAATTTATTAACTACGTTCTTAAATACATGTCGGAGTTGAAATTGCCTTTTAAACGAGGGACTTTTATAGAATTTCGAGCTGGTATGTTCAATATATGCCCAGTGGGTCGGTCTTGTTCTGTGGAAGAAAGGCGGCAATTTGCTGAGTACGATGCTAAACACAGAGTACGAGTGAAATTTATAGAAGCTCTTCACAAGCAATTTCCAGATTTAGGATTTTCCTTTAGTATAGGGGGCCAAATCAGCTTCGACGCTTTTCCCCGAGGTTGGGATAAAACCTATTGCCTCCAATTCTTGACGGAATTTCCGGAAATCCACTTTTTCGGAGATAAAACGGATAGAGGAGGCAACGATCACGAAATTTATTATCATCCTAAGACTATCGGTCATAAGGTCACTTCTCCAGAAGATACAATGAGCCAATTGAGGAACCTGTTTTGTTAATATCAGCACCTATCTCAAGATCAGAGGTCAGAGGAACATAAACAATGGCCGCTCTAATATATTGATAATACAATTTTAACAAACATAATTTTATGCAAAATATAATATATAAGTTTTAATGCTATTTTATATGGAATCAGGGGTCATAAACGGTGGCCGCTATAATATATTGATAACCCAATTGTACATAATTTTTATCCAAACAAACACAACTTTAATGCAAAATATTTTATAAAACAAGTTCTAATGCTATTTTATATGGAAAGATTTTAAATAAAATATTTAACGTTTATAGTATTTTTTTTTGTTTTTGCATAATTTGTATAATTCCAGGAAAATGTTCTAGATAATTCTTATCTAAAGCATTAATGAGGCGACTGCATATGGTTATCACGTAATTTTGCAATGTTAAGAATGTTTTGGTTATTGTTACAAAAATATATTATCGACCTTCATAAACTGAAAAAACAACTGAATCACTACTTGGCCATTTTTAACTTCCCGAAAGAGAAGTTTATGTTTTCCTGAACCGATTTTGAAAATTTAAAAGACGATGGAAACATTCCAGATCGTACTGTTTAGTTTTTGGTAAAGATCGGTCAAGCGGTTTCTTTGTAAGTTATTGTTGAATTCTTTTACGATAATAAAGTTCATGATCTTATCGAACATCCTAAAATATTAAAAACCAACTAAAAAAGTGGTTAATATAATTACAAATTAATAATAAATTTTAATACATAGATACAAAAATGTGTAATGTTCATCACTTTTTCAAACAAATGAAACACCAAGTTCCAAAAAACAAAAGATGTCAAATATCTTACATTATAATTTCAATTAATTTAGTGAATAGTTAGAAATTTTTAGAAAAAATGTTTAGGAGCGAATCTATGGTTCTTTGCCAATTGTTTATTGCAAAAGAGGCAACTTATCAATCTTTAGCTGAGCTCGGAGAAAAAGGTCTAATTCAATTTAAAGACGTAAGTTCCAGATAAAATAACTTAAATTATATGAATCCTTTAAAAAAAATCGGTTATATACTAGTTGAATGCCGGAGTAAATTCATTTAGAAGAAAATTTGTCCATCAAGTTCGACGATGCGAAGAATTTGAAAGAAAAATACGTTACATGCGGGATGCAATAATAAATGAAAAAATTCCGATTCCGGAATGCACTCCGGAACCAGAAACCCCAGAATTAAAAGTGGCCCCTGTTTACGAGGTGTAAAAAAAATATATTTAAAATTTCCAATATATATAACACATTTTGATTCATAAATCGTGTTACTATAATTCAAATATAATATTTTCAAGGCTGCAATTAATAAGGCTGAAGCCGCCCTAGTTGAATCTACCAACAGCCTTATTGGAATCAAACAAAATTTAATTGAATTACGAGAAATGCAAGCGGTGTTTGATTATGCAAAAGTACGTACAAAGGCATTAAAAAATCCTATATTATCTCTTATTTGAGTTTTATCCTTTAGGATCTTTTTCAAGAACCAATAATAGTTAGAAGATTCACCAATAATTCAAAACGAAACAAATCCAATAGCCGTGATGTAGAAAGTCGCAAAACTACCAAGGAGCAAGTGGGTCATCTTGGATTTATGACTGGTGTCATAAATAAAGATAAAGTATTATCTTTTGAGAAAATCCTCTGGAGGATCTCACGAGGCAATGCTTATATAAAACAAGCTGATGAATCTAGTATTCTGGAAGACCCTATAACTGTAAGTTAAATATAATGGATTCTGTAAGTATATTAAGTTACGAGGATTAATTTTAACTAAAAGTTAAAATAACAGTCTGTGCAGGATTTTCACATAACACACTACAAAAAGTATTGAACCATTTAAAAATCAATACTGGTTTCAAATCAATACAGATTTTTTTTGTTAAGTTATTGCACATGAGTTAAATGCCTGTTAGGTTGGTGTCGTACGTATCTGTCAGAACTTAAAATTTGTTTCGGCGTTTCTCATCAATTTGAGGTTAAAAATGCATTTTGTCAAATGAAAGATTGTAAAAAATGAAATTTCAATAAACTACTTAAGAAATGCATTTTTAAGTATCGTATTTTAAGTAACAGTGAATTATATTGTACATTTTAATGTGTTACGTTACTCAGTAAAGACTAAAACATGTTTTCCATATGTAAACAAACTCACCCTTCCACAGCAATAGAATTTTGTATAACTTGCCACTTCTATAACAAAAGAGAAAAATGTCTAGTAACAGCAGGGGCAAATGTTCTGAAAGTATTTCGTATTATACCGGACGTGGAACCAGGCTCCAAAGAGAAATACTCATATGCACGTCCTCCAAAAATGAGGCTAGAATGCCTGGCATCTTTTCAATTGTTTGGCAATATCATGTCTTTGCAAGCTGTACGCTTATCAGGAAGCCAGACTGATGCACTTCTATTAAGCTTTAGAGAAGCTAAATTGGCTGTTGTGCAAATGGATATGATAACATATTCTTTGAGAACTCTTTCTCTTCATTACTTTGAAGATAGTGATATTAAAAATGGCTGGACAAGTTGTCAACATATTCCAACTGTGAGAGTTGATCCTGATAATCGGTGTGCAGTCATGCTTATCTATGGAAATAAATTGGTTGTATTACCTTTCCATCGAGACAGTCTTTTGGATGAAATGGATACCATGGAAGCAAAGCCAGTACAAAATCCTGTAACTGGCGGAACAAGTAAATGCTCTATTTTAGCCTCATATATGATAGAACTTAAAGAATTAGATGAAAAAATTGATAATGTTATTGATATTCAATTTTTACATGGTTACTATGAACCTACTTTAAATATACTTTATGAACCAGTAAAAACATTTCCTGGCCGGATAGCTGTTCGTACAGACACTTGTTGCATGGCAGCAATAAGTATAAATGTGCAGCAGAGAGTACATCCTATAATTTGGTCTTTGGGAGGTTTACCATATGATTGTTGCCAGATTGTAGCTGTTCCAAAACCCATTGGTGGCTGCTTAGTCTTGGCTGTTAACTCTATGATCTATCTTAATCAATCTGTACCCCCATATGGAGTTAGTGTGAATAACATAGCAGATCATAGCACCAATTTTCCATTGAAGCCTCAAGATAATGTGAAGTTCAGCTTAGAGCGTGCTTGCTGTGTTTTTATATCGCCTGAAAGACTGGTGCTATCTGTAAGCTCTGGTGAGTTGTATGTTGTATCTCTTTTTGCTGATAGTATGCGCTCCGTAAGGGGTTTACATTTTGCAAGAGCTGCATCTAGTGTTTTAACCACTTGTATTTGTGTCGTGGAAGATGGTTACTTGTTTTTGGGTTCTAGACTTGGAAATTCTCTTCTATTAAGATTTACTGAGAAACAACAAAATACAGTAATATCTATAGAAGATGATGAAACTGAAGAAGTCTCAGCAAAGAAGAGAAGATTAGATACTGAAGATCCACAGATGTTCGGGGATTTAGAATTTGAAGTATATGGAACAGAAACTAAAACAGCTATGCAATTAGCTAGTTATGTTTTTGAAGTTTGCGACAGTTTATTAAACATTGGTCCTGTAGGTTCTGTAGCACCTGGAGAACCTGCTGTAACTAATGATGAACTTGCTGGACCGGACCCTGATATTGAATTAGTAACAACATCAGGTCATGGGAAAAATGGGGCCTTGTGTGTTTTGCAAAGATCTGTTAAACAACATATCATTACCACATTTACATTGCAAGGCATAGTGGATATGTGGACTGTAATGAGTGATGATAAAATGACTGAAAATGAAGCAAGTCATGCATTTATGATATTAAGTCATGATACAACAACTATGATTCTTAAAACTGGCAGTGAGATTAATGAAATAGATGATACAGGTTTTCAGACAAGGGCACCGACCGTTTTTGCTGGTAACTTGGGAAATTGCAAATATATTGTACAAGTCACTACAAGAAGTATAAGATTGCTTCAAGGTTCCAGGTTGTTACAAAATATTCCTTTAGATTTAGGATGTTCTATTATACAAGCTTGTACATCTGATCCTTATTTATGCATCTTAAGTGAACAAGGTCAAGTTATTACATTGGCATTGCGTGATGTCAGAGGTGTTGCACGTCTTGTCAATAATAAAAATTCTATTGGAGCTGTACCTAGAGTTTTGTGTATGAGTTTATATAGAGATATAAGTGGAATGTTTACTAATACTCTGAGTGATTATGATGATTTCAGTAGTGCACCAACTTTTCAGAGCAGAAGGACCAATAAAAAGCCAAGTATGAAACCAGAAAATGAAGATGATTTATTATATGCTGATGCCAGTAAATATGAGTTGCCCACATTGGCAGATATGGCCCAGCATATGCCTGCTTCGTCTTCAATTGATACATCATGGTGGAGAAAACATTTGCAAGAAGTGAAACCTTCATATTGGTTGTTTGTAGTTCGAGACACTGGAAATTTAGAAATATACTCTATGCCTGATTTACGTTTAAATTTTCTCATTCGACATGCAGCTCAAGGTTTAAAAATGTTAGTAGATTCAATGGAATCAGTTCCATTGATCAAGGATGTAGTAACATTTCAAGAACAATCATTTGGCAGCACAGTTTTAGATTATGGAATCAAGGAGATATTGATGGTTGCTTTAGGTAATCATGGCAGCAGACCAACATTGATAATCAGATTGGATCATGAAATTTTATTGTACCACGTTTATAAATATCCCAAAGGAAATTTGAAGCTTAGATTCCGAAAAATTAATCATGCTATAATATTACCAAAACCGGTAGAAATAGAGACCAAAATTGATGCTGAAGATATGTACAGTAGATCTAAGCAGTATTTAACAAAAATGCGGTATTTTAGTAATATTGCTGGATATAATGGAGTCTTTTTATCTGGCGTAAACCCCACTTGGCTATTTTTAACAGCCAGAGGAGAAGTTAGAACACATCCCATGTCCAGTGATGGTGCTATAGAAACTTTGGCTGCATTTAACAATGTGAATTGTCCAAATGGGTTTGTGTATCTCAATTCAAAATCAGAACTTAGAATTTGTATTTTACCCACTCATATATCATATGATGCTCCATGGCCTGTTAGAAAAGTTCCTTTACGATGTACAGCACATTTTGTTGTATACAATTTGGAATCCAAGACATATTGTGTTGTTACTAGTCAGAGTCAACCTTCACAATCATATTATAAATTCAATGGTGAAGACAAAGAATTATCTGAAGAAAACAAGGGTGAAAGATTTTTATACCCTATGCAAGAAAAATTCAGTATGTGCCTATTTTCACCAGTTAGTTGGGAAGTAATACCAAATACAAAAACTGATCTTGATGACTGGGAACATGTTACTTGTTTGAAAAACGTAGCACTGGCTTATGAAGGTACAACATCAGGTCTCAAAGGATATATAGCTCTAGGTTCCAATTATAATTACAGTGAAGATATTACATCCAGAGGGCGTATTTTAATCTACGATATTATAGAAGTCGTTCCGGAACCTGGTCAACCTCTAACCAAAAATCGTTTTAAATTGGTATATTCCAAGGATCAAAAGGGACCGGTTACTGCAATAACCCAAGTTCTTGGTTTTCTTGTATCAGCTGTTGGCCAAAAAATATATTTATGGCAACTTAAAGACAATGACTTGGTTGGTGTTGCTTTTATAGACACCCAAATCTACATACATCAGATGCTTAGTATAAAAAGTCTTATTTTAGTAGCAGACGTGTATAAATCTATAAGTTTGCTACGGTTTCAAGATGAATTCAGGACTCTGTCATTGGTAAGCAGAGATTATAGACCTACTGAAGTTTTTAGTATAGAATACTTAGTAGACAATTCAACATTGGGATTCCTTGTTTCTGATGTAGATAAAAATTTAGTGACTTACATGTATCAACCAGAATCACGTGAATCTTGCGGCGGCCAAAAGCTTTTAAGAAAAGCTGATTACCACTTAGGCCAGCACGTGAACGCATTTTTCAGGATACGATGCAAAATCGCGGATGGCATCGATTCGCGAAAACATTTCTCAGGATCGGATAGAAGGCACATTACAATGTTTGCAACATTAGATGGTGGTCTGGGATATGTGATGCCACTTCCAGAAAAATGTTATAGAAGGCTCTTTCTTCTACAAAATGCTATGATGACGCAAACCCAACAATTAGCAGGTCTTAATCCGAAAGCTTATCGAACTTACAAATCGTCCAGGAAACTTCATGCAAATCCAGCCAGGTGTATTATTGATGGAGATTTAGTAACTTCGTATGTGAATTTGACGGCTAGCGATAAATTAGAAGTCGCTAAGAAAATAGGCTCAAAAATGGAAGATATTTTATATGACTTATCAGATATAGACAGAATGACTGCACATTTTTAGATTTGTTTTTTGTTAACAGTAATTATTAATTTAGGTGAATACTGATTTAGTTAAGTGTGGAACTGTTACAATTAATATGCAGGAAATATCGAGTTGCAACTAATTATAAAATTTATTTAAGATTTTGAGAAATATGTGTGTACATTCAAATGTATCAGACCATATAGAATGATAAGAAGTTGAGTTATAAAATAATGTAAAATGATGAATGAAGCATTATAATATATTACTGTAAATAAATAGTTTTTATACATTCGAATTTGATTTTTAATATTTATAACTTAGTAGATAGTGGATACACTACCAAATTATTGATTATTAATATTTTGATAAAAAAAATTGATCAAATTGATTTTCTAAAAATTAATCATAATTATTTTTTATAATTTAAATATTGTCACAAGACCAGGAATTCTACCATCATACAAAAACTAATCAGCACGATTCCCAACTGATATCTTTCAAATATTTTTAAATTTTAAAAATCGAATAGATTAAAATTTTAAAAATAAAATTGTTTTATTTTTATTAAGGGAAATAGCATAGAAAAAGTTGCATTTGTTGTATTTTCACAAGGAGAAGCTCTCAAAGACAGAATTTCAAAATTGTGTGCTGGATATCATGTTAAATTATTTAATTGTCCAACAAGCAAAGAAGAAATAACGCAACTTTTCAATACCGCAACAGCTCACATAGGAGAACTCCAAATGGTAAATAAAATAATTTAATTAAATAAAATAAATCATGAAAGTAACTCGTTTTATAAAAGGTATTAAGAAGATCAACAGATTTTCGAGAAAACATGCTCGTTCGAATATCAAAAAATCTTCAGAGGTGGTCAATTAGAGTGATGAAAATGAAAGCAATTTATTTCACAATGAATAAGTTCAATGTTGATGTAACGGACAAATGTTATGTAGCCGAATGTTGGATACCAGTGATATATTTACCAAAAGTTCAAAGGGCTTTAGTCAAAGGATCGGTATGAAAGAAGAAGCATTTTTGGTAAAAAAGTTTTATAATATAAATATTTATATCATAAAACTTTTTTCACTGTTTATAGAAATTCAGTTCATCTATAAATTCAATATTAAACTTAGTCGAAACTAAAGAAAAACCACCTACATTCATAAAAACCAATAAATTTACCAGAGGGTTTCAAATAATAATGGATGCTTATGGAACAGGCAGCTACCGGGAAGTAAATCCAGGTTTAAAATAATTATTTGATAAAAAGTTTTGTATCAAAATAATAAAATTAATTGATTATTTAAGCTTTGCCTGCTATCATAAGCTTCCCATTTCTTTTTGCAATAATGTTTGGAGATATCGGACATGGCCTATTGATGGTTTTAGCAGCTTTATTCTTAATAAGACAAGAACGCGTTTTTCAAGTAAGTTATATCAAAATAATATCTAGTACTTACAGATTTAATATGTAATGTATTTTTGCATTGTTCATAAATAGATAAAAAATCCTTCGAGTGAAATTTATTGCATAATGTACGGCGGTCGTTATATAATTTTGCTAATGGGCCTATTTTCAATTTTCACTGGATTGATATACAACGATTTCTTTTCAAAATCTTTAAATCTGGTTGGATCTCGATGGGTTGTTGATATACCTAAAACAGAAATAGTGCGGCACCATACGCTAACTTTGGATCCGAAAACAAACGCTTATGTTAATCCGTATCCTTTTGGAATTGATCCAGTTTGGATGGTAATTATATATAATGTTCAAATACATGATGTTAATATATATATATATATATATATATATATATATATATCCAACTTTGTAGCTTGCTTCTAACAAAATAATATTTATGAACTCGTATAAAATGAAAATGTCTATAATAATTGGAATAATACATATGCTATACGGCGTTTTCAATGGAATAATCAACCATATGTATGTATCTCACATATAACTATAAATATCAAATATTTATTTGAATGTAATTCTTATTATTTTAGTCATCTTCGTCAAAAGTACAAGATATTCCTAGAATTTTTGCCACAAATGGTATTTCTATCTTCTCTATTCGTTTATTTAGCGATAATGATTATAATGAAATGGTTTCTATACAGCTCTAAAACTGATGGTAATTTATTTACTAAATTATTATTATTTATAAAATTAAATACTATTTTCATCATTTATCCAATGGCAAAATTTAGTTAATGGTATAATATATAGAATTTAATTCAAATAAAATATGTAATAAATATGATAAATAAAATAGATATCCGTTGGTCTACGAATTGTGCACCTAGTATCCTCATACTTTTCATAAACATGGTTTTGTTCAAAACAACTCCACCAGATTCTCAATGCATCAGTTACTATATGTATAAACATCAACCAGAGGTTCAAGAATATTTGATGTACATTGCCTTAAGTTGTATTCCCATAATGCTCTTTGGAAAACCATTTTACTTATTATGTACTAGGAATAACAAGGTAACTAACTTATATCGAATAAAGTAACAAAATTTCATGTTCTTGTGCAAGTCAGTGCAAAAGAGTTGTTTCTGCCAATAGTAAAAGTAAACTTTTGCTTACTTGCATTTAATCAATGAAACTTCAAACAAAATAAAGAAGAAATCAATCAAGTGTTTTTTATATTAGAAAAATCGTGCTCAAGATGATGTTATTATACTCCATGAAGATATTATTATTGTAAATGATGATAATGCAGAAAATACAAGATTTGATGCAGTTCACAGAAATTTAGATTTTCGTTTACGAGAAGGTTATTGGGAAGAAGAAATGCCAGAACAAGTTGTGAACTATGATGTAAGTAGTGATGAAGATGACATGCGTTATAAGAAAAAAGAAGATATATTTAAAGGAGAAGGACTTAGTCCAAAACAAAATGGTAATAGTAATAGAGTTTATTGCTTGTATTACCAAAATATTACATAATATTTGCAAATAATTTTCAGAAGAAGAAAAAGGCCCAATATCAGAAATATTCATTAACACTGCTATTCATACAGTAGAATATGTTTTAAATTGTGTATCACATACAGCTTCTTATTTGAGACTTTGGGCTTTGTCTTTAGCACATTCACGTAAGCTTAACTTTTAATATTACTTTTTACAAATAATATATTTCAAGTATTTTTCAGAACTTTCAGAAGTATTATGGAGTCTTATGGCAATAGCATTGAAAATGCAAAGTTGGTATGGTTCTGTAATGCTATACTTCATGTTTGGCATTTGGTCAACTTTCACCATTTCAATTCTTGTACTAATGGAAGGCTTATCTGCTTTTTTACATACTTTACGTCTGCATTGGTAATATGGTGCTTTGAGTGATGGAAACAATCATGCAATTTAATATATTATTATCGTGTATGTTTCAGGGTTGAATTTATGAGTAAATTTTATACTGGAGCTGGTTACCGTTTTGAACCCTTTTGTTTTCGAACAATTTTGGATGATCAAGAAACATGTTAACACAAATTTTTATTACAAAAGCAACGCCTTTCACAAAGTATCGTAACAAACAACTTAAACTAATCAAACAATTCATACATTTATAAGCTCTTAATATAAAAATATTATAAAAATGTACCTGATGGGGGCAAAATTATGGTTTCTTCTTCCCTTGGCCCACTGGACATAATTCTTTATTAAGACAACCACTACAATTAGGTTTGATTGGTTTGCAAATAGTTTGACCTAGACCAACCATCCAAGTATTGACATCAGCCCAATATTCTTTGGGTAACCAGGATTCTAAAGCAACTCTAGTCTCTTCTGGTGTTTTAGTGGGTTTCTTTACCCATCCCATTCTGTTAGAAATTCTATGCACATGAGTATCAACACCTAAAATTATGTAAATTCGAACGTAAATTACTAAAATTTATATTAATAATATATCTATTATAAAAAGATACTAACCAATCCCAGTTGTTTCATTCCAAGCAACCTGCATGCAAATGTGGGCCATTTTAGGTCCTACACCAGGCAATTTACATAAATCTACTGAAGTTTTCGGAATATCACAATTATATTTATCTTTCAGAATTTCCACAGCTAATTTAATATGTTTAGCTTTAGTCTATTATAAATGAATAATAATAAGCAACATTTGTTATCATAATCTCCATGAATATGCAACTGTACCTTACTTTGTAAAAACTAACAGGGCGTAACAACTCAGCCAAATCTTTTTCATCAATATTTCTTATCACATCAACAGTCAGACCTCCAGGTAATTTAATAAGTTTTTGCATAACATCGTAATTAACTTGATCTTTTGTTTGGCTTGATAGCATAAGGGCAATGAGGAAATGAAATCGCTTTATCTAAAAAAAAGATTTTTTTAACTTAATTTATAGTAATTATAAATTTAAACAACATACTATTGGTTCAGCATTTAAATCAGCAGCCATATGACATCCCATTGTATCCACCGGAGCGCCTTTCTTTTCACGCATTTTTTCCAAATTTTGTAATGCTTCTTTCCAATTTTGAGGTTCCCAAGTTGCAATAAAATTGCTCTGTGGAAATACAATAATAACAATTAATATAATAGGTAATAAAAGAGACAATAACAGTTTAAACTTTTTAGTTTGTTAAAATACTGTTAATTATATTATTTATGATCTTAAAAACAAAAAGTTCAAAATTTAACTTAAGCTTCTGTAGTTCTTAAATAAATTGTTAATGCTATTATGCTATGTTATGCTAATAAAAGTATAAGTAAAACCTTTTTGCTTTCAGTGACGTCTCCTTCCTTTTTTGGGCTCTCTAGTTCTACTTTAACATGAGGTCTTTTCAAAGCCTTTTTATTATCCTGAACTGGTGAAACAGTTTTTTCATCAATCTCATTTTTAACATATAGAATCTCTGTCTTAGGTTGATCAGCAATATTTGGCTCAATATTTATATTTTCAGTTTTCTCTTGGCTTTCAATCTTTGGCTGATCAGCAATATCTTGCTCAATATTTTTATTTTCAGTTTTTATTTGACTTTCAATTTTTGATCCTGTATTATTTCTAAATTTTTGTAAAACCGAAATAGTTGCCTCATGCTCCTGAAAACATTAATCGAAAATTATCACCCATCATTTGAATAAGTAGATGTAAATAATAAGTTCATGTAATTTACCTTAGGATCAGTATCATTTTGATTTGATTTTTTAGTCACTTTAGGCTTGCGTGGCTTGCCCATTTTGAAGTAATTAATACTATAAATACTAAAATATTTTGAACTTAAAACACAAGAACGTTGTAACATATATAATTACTAAATATTCACCATGCACGTTTGTAGAAATCGTTAAACTGACAAATGTCAATTTGACATTGAAGATTGAAAGGTGACCCAGTGCCATCTAGTGTTGAAAAGCCACATCTTAATCAGCAAAGAAACCCACCAATAGTTCTAATAGAAGTCTTATTGGAAATCTATTGTGGTGGATACTTCTTATTGGTTCAATATTTATCAATGAGTAAATGAACTTCATGGATACATATATAATTACAAATTTGTCCATCAAACTCACACAATTTATTTTCACTAATGTAGATATACACATTTATAACTTTTTATAATAGATTTCCAAGACACATGTATAAATACAATACTTGTAGTAGATAAAGCTATTAAAAAGTAAGTTTCTGTTTTAATTTTTTTATTTTAATATCCATGGTATAACGTTTTGGTCATTTTATTTTATAAAATGTTCTAAGATATGTATCCACGGATTTTCAAACAAAGTTTTTGAATAAAACGACTTTGAATTTGGTTTTTCGTTCTATAGCAAAAATGAAAAAAATGGAACATTTTTTTGGATTTTCTCAAATAACTCACAAACTTTATATGAAAGCACTATTTTTGAGTTTGATATGGTGAAACTAGATAAAATTTACTACAATTCTATGCCAACAGATATATACACTCCAAAATAAAAGTTTTGAATAAAACGACTTTGAATTTGATTTTTCATTTTTTAGCATTAAATAGAAAATATGGGTTATTTTTTGGTTTTTGTTAAATAACTCACAAACTTTATATGAAAGCTTGTTTTTTGAATTAGATAGGGTGAAACTAGATAAAATTTATTGCAATTCTATGCCAACAGTTATATACACTTCAATATAAAAGTTTTGAATATAACGACTTTGAATTTGATTTTTCATTCTTTAGCATTAAATAGAAAATATGGGTCATTTTTTGGATTTTGTCAAATAACTCACAAACTTTATATGAAAGCACTCTTTTTTAGTTAGATATGGTGAAACTAGATAAAATTTACTACAATTCTGTGCCAACAGTTATATGCACTCCGATATAAAAGTTTTGAATAAAACGACTTTGAATTTGATTTTTCATTCCTTAGCATTAAGTAGAAAAAGAGTTTGAACTCACGACTCACGACCCAGTCTACACGAGTCCAGGAGCTTAACCATCACACCATATTTAAGTTCAATACCATATTTAAACATATTTGTATATATAATTTATAATTTTTTATAAGAAACTTCAAAATCAACTAGACAATTTTTGACGATTTTGAATAATTGATTTAGATAATAGAGTTGATAGAGATTTTTTTTAATTAGAGTTTCAAAATCCTATCGTCCTAACTACATAATTTATTAAATCTCAACTGGTATTAATAAATTATGTGTTAATAATAATAATATTATAAAATTGGTGAATTTTAAAATAACCTCATCATTTAAATAGTATTCATCAAATTGCAAAACAATTTTTTGCCTTATTAATCATCGCCCAATCAAATTACATACTGCATGACCAGTTTTTTTTTACAAAATTCATTTATTTATAGAATTTGGACATATACCAAAATAATGACCCTGATAAAATAAGAATGAATCAAATCTTTTAATACCATCATTCATGACGATAATAAAACTTCCAATTGTTACTAAATTCCTAATTACGATACGATAATTTGCAAGCCTAAATACAAATTGATTAGCAATCAGAAAGAATTAAAATCACCAATTGTTTATCGCAATTATAAACACAATCTTTGACACTCATATTTCGTATATCACGCGACGGTTAATCCATGAAAAAATTAAATTCAATAAAAAACTAGATCTGCAATCTATTCTGCCGATATTATATCAATCAGAGTGTAATTATTATCTATATTGTTTCTTTAAGATTTGCTTATCGTAATGAAATGTGCTTATCAAGTAGCGGGAAATTGATAAAAATTGGAGAAATAATTAATAATAAAGACATATGCAATTTGTGCCTTATCTTGAATATGCAAATATAATGAGAGGAGATAATGAATTACAATTGTATGCAAACACTTTAATTTTAATCTTAGCAAAAAATTGAAACTTTTAAATTTAAACCTGTGTATGGATAGGGCAAGGTTTCTTAAGTCGTACCCCCAAGGAAATAATGCTATAATAATAATTAATGCAATAAAATTAAATATCAAATTCTTGGCCTTTTTTGAAAATTCATTTATAGATGGCTCATGACTAGTATTTACTGATATTTAATTTTTTTATTGAAATAGCTATTTTTCAAAGTTTTTCAAAAATTTTTCCATTTAAATATACCTAAATGATTTCCAAATGAGTAATATAAATAAAAATTAGTAAAATAAAAAAATGCCAGGATCTTATTTATCTATGGCCACGATCATATTTTTCTCATCTTACAATAGAGTCAAGAATATTAGCACAAATTTTACAAAAAGCTTACTTTTTAATTATTTCTGATTTACAACAAAAATTACAAATGTTATAATTTTGAAAAAAAATTAATTTAAATCAATTCAGGATTTTAAATTCAAATTTTGAATTAAATATAAATTTAATTTTTTTTATTAAGTATCAATAGTATTGATTAAAATCTGATACATTGGCAAGTTGCATGCTTTAAAACTCTTTTAAAATTACAAAACTGTAAAAATCAAATCGAATATTTTATCAACACTTTTATTTTTAACATATATTAGCAGTTTATAGCATACAAATTGCTTCATATTATCAATTTTTTAAGTTTTCAATTAACATTTGATAAGATTTATGTTAATGACGTACATCAACTACAAAGTATCAAACTTGATTAATTATTTAATTAATTATTCTACAAAAAACAGTAGCTAATTGCTTCTGAAGAGCTCTTTAGGATTCAACAATGGACTCATCTTCAACTATAATAGTCTTTCTATAAAATTTATTTATTGCACTCGAAAACACTTAATAAAAACAAATTAAGTTATATATTTTTATCTATAAATATAATTATTTAACCGATCGAATAGTTGGCATATAAAAGTGAACAGGTTCTGAAACTCCGATAGTCAGAACATTTTATTTGCATAAGTTATATTTTAGACTTTAGTTTTTAAAGCAATAGTTACGGTACATAAAATTTGTTTAATGTACTCGAAAACTCTTAACAAAACATATTGAGTATTCATTATCTAGAGATATAATTGTTACACCGATAGCGAATCGAACAGTTGGTATATAAAAGTGAACAAGCTCTGAGATTCCGATAGTCGAAATTTTCATTGTGTAAATAGTGTTGGCTTTGGTCAACTTTATTTTACAATGAATATGGTGGGTGCGATTTTTTTGACGCTTTTTGCGTCTTTGCTGCTTTTATCGGGCAGCGAAGCGGCAGCCGGTAAGCGGATGCGTTTGCCCGGAATTTCAGGTAAGGATAAAGGACACAGATTTTTCCATACCGAATTTAAATTTGACTGTTTATCTGTATTTTTTAGTATATCATATTAATTGACAATATAATAAGCTCTATAAATTACCAAAAATTAAAAATTATGAAAAGAAAAAGGGATACGATACAATTGGTCCGAAGAGCAATTGATTATGGATTACACTTTTTGCATAGGACAGTTTCTTATATATGTATTATAATAGCAATTTTCCTGTAAGACTTTTATATGTAATATCAAATATGGAATATGAGCTTTTGTTAAGTTGTGTCAGTGGTTTCCAACCTTTTCTTACTGCGTCCCCAGATTTTTTTTCAGAGTTATAATTTTATCAATACTCAACTAAAATTATAATTTATTTATCAGGCTACAAATTTATAGACAATATTATGTAAAAATATACATGAAAATAATTATTTATTCATTTATTTTTTAATATGATTTCAACATATTTGATTTATTTCCAAAAATAGAGTTTGAAAACCAAGGCGTTAGGGTGAAACTAAATTTTTGCTGAAATGAAATGATGTTTAAAACACTTCATTATTAATTATGAATTTATACTTAAGACATGTATAAACTCAGAATGTAAAAGATCATCCTATCATCGAAAAAATCCTATTAAATATTTTTTGAAAATAATTAATTGGTAATAATTAAGGGTGTTGTTTTGTATATTGTAAAAACGCAAATGAATCGAAAAATGAGCTGTTAATTCAAAACAACTATTATTCAATAAAATACCTTATCGGGCATAAATTCGCACGTGTGTTTATTAATTAATAAACAGTAGGCACTTCAATTTTTATCAATTGAAAACATACTTGATACTGAACAGAAGAGCACTTGATAAAACCATTGTTATCAATAATATTTGCATCTGATTTTTAGATATGCTTAATGTACATTATTGATAATTAATTTTTATTAAGCAAACCATATACTTTTTTTTGTATATTTGCAAAGTCTTTATTTTATCATCAACGTTATCAAAAAAAAAATTACATTTGTTGTAATTAAAATAGTCATTACATGCATGATTATGCAAATTAATAGGAACAGCTAACTACTACTAGCTGTAATTATACTAGACTAATTCTGAAGTTTTTTTTTTAATTTCAGATGATGTAGTAGCAGACTTTGCAACAGAATATGATCATTACTTATTAACTGGTCAAAAAACACAGAAATTTCAAAAATTAATTTCTGCAATGAAATTCACCGATGAAGCTAGACAAGAAGCATTTTTGCCAGTTGATGAGCGCCGCTCAAATTTGGAAACGGTAATTTTAATTTGGAATAGGATAAATATTCATTATATTAAAAATAATTGTTTAAAAAAGCAGCCTAAATATAAAACATTTATTCTTTATTTTTAGGGAATACTATGTTTAGGTTGTAGATCTGCCGCAAACTACCTCCTGAACAAAAGAAGAAACGAAAACGCTACTGACGAATTTGTTAAAAAATTGGCAAAAGACATTTGCACACAATTTGAAATTATGCCTGAACATGTTTGCGAAGGATTAGTAAATTTGAATGCAGTAAGTATCAAAAATAATATAAAATTTGATCTATTTGAATCCTAATCGGGTACATTATTTTGCAGCCAACATTATTATACGTAGTTGACAATAAACAAACTTTAGAAGCCGATACGATTTGCGGAATGTTGTTATCAGACTCACAATGTCCTTCTGAAAACCCAGAATTAAATTGGACCATTGAAATTGATAAAAACAGACCTGCGGCACCCAAGGTAATATATCTCAATATATAAACAAATGTTATAATATTAACTATCTTCAAAGAAAAATTATTCTATTATTTTTAGCCACCATCTGTAACCGATCCATCTTTAACATTCGTCCAAATTTCTGATCTTCACTATGATCCAAATTACAAAATCGGTTCAACTGCTGTTTGCAAGGAACCAGTATGTTGCAGAGCAAAACAAGGACCAGCTGAAAATCCTGAAAAAGCTGCTGGAAAATGGGGAGATTACAGAAGTTGTGATACTCCTTGGGAAGCCATCGTTGACTCCTATGAACAAGTCAAGAAACAACACCAGGTAAAGAAAAGATTATGTGTAAGCTTTTGGCATTTTGCTTTTTGCTCTAGGCTCAACTATCTTTCCAAGCCTTGTGATAATATTTGAAAGTTTCATTCTTAGAAAATCGACGCAATCTACTTCACCGGTGACATCCTTGACCACGGAATTTGGGAGACTACCTTAGAAGGCAACAAGAAAAGCATTAGAGACACCATGGGTAAAATGAAAGAAGTATTTGGAGATGTTCCAGTGTTTCCAATTTTGGGCAACCACGAACCACATCCTCTGAATATTTATTCTCCTAAAAACGTACCAGAAGCTATGAACACTAAGTGGTTATACGACTTTGTTGCTGAAGAATGGAGCTACTGGCTTCCAGAAGAAGCTAGAGAAACTATGAGATATGGTGGTTATTACACAATCTTGGTTAAACCAGGATTCAGAGTTATTGCTTTGAACAACAATGTGGCTTATTCATTCAACTGGTATGGTGTTAAAAAAATCAACACGTATACGTTTTCTTTTTAAGATGAGATGATTTATGGTTTAAAATTTTATTTCAGGTGGTTGTTCTACGATCCAGTATTTATAAAAGAACAATTGCAATGGTTGCATGATACTTTATTGCAAGCTGAGAAAAATAAGGAAAAGGTGCACATTTTGGCACACATACCTCCTGGCACTGATAGTTTTACAACTTGGGATAAAGAATTCAAGCGACTCGTTGAAAGGTAAATAAACTAAGAATAAACTATGAATCTAAGTGTTGTCTGATAACTAAAACCGAGGTTGTTATAGATTTTCCGATGTAATAAGTGCCCAATTCAATGGCCACAGCCACGAGGATGAGTTTGTCGTTTTCTACAATATGGGTTCGAGGCACCCAAAACCAATCAACGTTGCTTTCAATGGTGGAAGTATCACAGCTTACAGTTACGGAAATCCTAATTATAAAGTTTATGAAGTCCAACCACAAACATATGTAAGTTATCAGAAAATATAAGCTTCACTTATAAATAATATATAAATAATCTAATAATACTAACATCTAACATGTGACTTTTAACACATTGATTTTAATTTATAGAATGTTCTAAACCATGAATCTTGGATTTACAACTTAACTGCTGCCAATTTGGCAAGTGATGATAGTCGTCCAGAATGGTTTAAAATGTACTCTTTCAAAGATGATTTTGGTATTCCTTCAGTATCACCAGCAAATCTAGATACTTTGATCAAAAAGATGGTGAAAGACGAAAAATTGGCATACAAATACTTTGAATACAAGTACAAATTGGGAGATCTGATGTTGGCCAAGGGATGCGATAGGGTAAGAAAATTTAATAAAATTAAAAATGATCAGATATTAATATTTTTGCTAATTTATTTTTTTGCCAAAAGGAATGCCAAACTCATCATGTGTGCACAATTTTGACAACCGTTCCTGGAGACCACGAAATGTGCAGAAAATATGGAGCAGTTTGGAATAAATGATAAGAATCTTGGAATTATTACACAATCTATAAATTAAAGTGATTGTTAAATATTGTTGAAAATATATTATATTATATTAATATAATATAAATCTTTATAAATAAATCCTAATACCGGTGAAAATATTTTTTACAACTTAAAATGAATAAAACTGATATTTATATTTTATTTACATATTTTATATTTGCATTATTTAGAAAAGAAAAAGTACTAAACATTTGCGAATATTTTTCACATATGTACACTTAACATTCAAATGCAAAAACCATATTACCGCCTAAAAGTGTATCTTTTTTACGAAATTGCCACAATCCACTCACAAGCCTTTAAATTAATTTTTTTGGTATAAATAATAATAAATATGTTTATAAGTTGATCGGGATTTACATTTTTACATGTGTTAATATACAATATGTTTTTTTCTCAAACAGAATAAATAAAATAGGAATATTTTTTGGCAAAAAATACATACATATGCTTATATATAATATATATTAAATTACATGAGTTTAAACGTAAAAAATAAATAGGGGAGAAGGTAACCACTAGATTAACTAGTAAAAGACTTAAGTACCAAAATTATTATTTTCGGTTAACATCACAAAAAATGCAAAAACAGGTAACGATTTACCATCTTACTAAAAATACATTACATTACACTTGGGTAACATAAATTAGTAACAAAGTGAAATAACATATATAATATAATTTAAAATTGAACAAAATTATTAATATTTTAACAATAAATTCAGTAAAATTAGAAAAACGACAAATAACATTAATCTAAATCCGCTAAAGTAATATTCACTATAAGTTACTGTCATTTATTGAATTTTATAATATCTATTAATAATATTAGTTATTTAAGAGGTAGAAATACCGTAGAGTCAAAAATCATAACTAATACTAAATTCTTAAGACAGAATTGCTATTTTAAGATAAAATACTATAATTAATTTTAAGTTGTTTGAGATAAGAAGCAGAGATACTGGTAAAACTATATAAGGTAGAAATTCATAGAAGTTTTTTTATGATATGAATGTTGTGATTTGAGCAGTTGAGTTGAAAATTAATTGTTTTAAAATTTTAAGAAATTATGAAAATGACTGATACAAACGCGCCGTATTATATAATGTAATATTAATTTAATAATTAACTATTTTTTAATCTGCTGTTTTAAATTTGTCGAGAGATCAGTCCTTAATCATTTTTAGGCTTAAGGTTTCAATTAACGACACTAAACCTTAGCAGTCTTTGTGTCATCGTCTTCTTAGACCAATGGGTAATAATTTTTAAATTTAAAATTTTTTTCACCTAAACATGTGTCTATAATTTTCTAAGAAGAATCAATAATATTAATATTTAGGAATTTTTTAAGACAAAGTTAATGGTAAAATCAACTAATATATAATAATCGACTATAAACGCATAAGTAATTAAGTCTTCAACAGTAAATTCGATACGAATTGTATAACATTATTTATATTATTTACAACTAAAAACTATAAAGTAGTTGTATGAAGCTAATGAACTAGGTGTTCAGAAATTAATATAATAAAGTAACGATAGGTATTTTCAGTTCAAGAAGTTTTAGAACATTTAAACACCAAACAATCTTAAATGGACTATACAGACTAACATAATATTTTATATAGGTCAAAAAACGTATTAAAGTTTTACGATGGACTTTAAATATTTTTAATTTTAAGGGCAAAATTAACCAGAAAAAACTTAATAATATAGGCAAATAACTTTAAACAGCATTTGTAATAACAAAACCTATCACAAAAAACATCAGTTTAAATATAGATTCAACTAAATTGAACTAGATAAAGTTTGGCAAGGATTTCTTTATATAATTTAGTTTCTATATGGCATAACACAACAAAATTATTTTTATCTATAAAAACAAATATAAAATAATTGTACACTATCAAAAGTGATGTGTGCTTACGGTGGAGACTTCGAGTCGTTACTCTTTGATAAATGATTTTATTTGTTTACAATTTAAGTATATTATATTTTGAAAAGTAAATAAAATCAGATCGATTAATTTTACTTTTCAGTTAATTGATTAATCTTTCTGTCAATGCATTTATTTTTTTAAGAGCAATCGGACGGGGTAGTATATTTTCCCAAGAAGAATTTATCGCCGAAAGTTTAAAGAAACTTTTACAACAGATTTTTGCACATTCAATTATTTGGATAGTTTGTAAAAACATCAAACATCTGTGTACATTAAAAATAATCCATTAATTACGTTTTTAGTATTTCTTTATATTTAGCTTTTTTAAATTGATTTAGTATTCTGGTTAAAAAAGTCTGCTTTTTGTTTGAGGAATGTTTAAAATATGTAAACGCAGTTAGAAATTGATATCATGTAGAATAATTTTTACATTCCTCAAAATACTTTAGGTATTTCCATTCACGTAATTAATGTATGATTTAACAGAATATATTTAATTCCCTTAAAGCCTATTATCGAATAAATATATATTTATTTACTAAATTCATTTGAAATCATTAAAATTGATTAAGGTGTGATATATTTATTCAACTTTCGGCCTCTTTAGTTTTATAGATAGATTAATAATATAATTAACATAACACAAATATAGGTGATATAACACAAATCTGACTTTATTAATTACGTATAACATATTTAAATTAGCATATAGATTTATATGCTAAAAATGTATATATATATATATATATATATATATATATATATATTTGTAATATTTTTGCAGCCCAATCGTCAAATTAAAATAAAGATTAAATAAAAAAATAAAAAATTAAATCCTTCACTACACTTGCTTTGTAACCTTGATCAACCTCCATAATGCACCGCTATTAATAACATAAAAAATAGGAGGGCAATATGAGCTCCTTCAATTTCTCGTTTGTTAATGTAATAGTATATTATTATTTTATACAAATTTAGTGTTCAATCAATTTCACATCATAATTAATTTTTTCTGTTGTTTTTCCTGGTTTGGTATGTATAATTTTCTCCTTTTTATATATTTATATTTATTATCAACTTTGTATTTATGTAATATGTTTTTTAGATTACTGAATGATAACACACATCAAGTGTCGAAACGTTTAATGGACTAACTAATTTTGTTATTTAATCTCTTTTAATAATTTGACGATTGGGCTGCAAAAATATTACAAATATATATATATATATATATATATATATATATATATATATTTATAAATCGCACATGGACGGTAAATTTTAATTCCAAGTACTTATTGCATACTTTGATATTTGACTAGAAAAATGCCATGTACTAAATATATGTACACGCTATATAAAGTGAATTAATTCATAACCGCCTTTTAAATATTTTTATCATCCGCTTAATATCATTTATTACTTACAAATTCTTATAAATTATCGATATGTTTAATAATAATAATAAATATGTACTATTTGAATATCGTACATTTTAAGTATGAACAGATCAATAGAATTAGATCTGTACTTGAAGAGGAATGTAAAACTAATGTCTTTAAGAACATCATGAAATATATATAGTTTTTTATGTATATGAAAATCTTTAAGATTTTTGTAATGATATCGTGGATTCAAGAGAGATATGACGTGTTTTTGTTGAAAAATATTAGTTCATAACTTTGAAAATATTATTTTATACGTTAATAGTATATGTTCATTTGGAAACAGGTACTGCAAGATTTTTTTCTGAAGGTGTGCTTATTAAGATAAAATGTTATTAAATGTTGAAATAAAATATCGGTATACTAAATGTGCATTAAGACTTCTGATATGGGTTTACGTTGTATATAGAAAATATAAATTCTCGGTTCCCAGTATGTATAATTCTAATGACAAATGAAGCAATGAGAAATATTTTACTATTTATGATTTTTTAAAGTATTGTGAATGATAAATATGTAGGTTTCTACTTTAGCCTTTGAGTAACGTTGGCTAAGGCGACTGCAAACGCTTGGAGAGCCGAAAATGGGTACTGAAAATCTAAGGTGTATGCGTTTCCATCGATGCGACCGAACTGCATCACCTGAGAAATCCCAAATTTAATAACTAAAAATTGATTAATGAAAAATAAGTCACCATGCTATACGATGTATACTAAATTTTTCTAATTTTTTTCATCAACGCATTATGCAACGCCTCCTGGCATAAACCAAGAGGAGATAATTTATATCATTCATTTTTACTATGGCATGCATTAACTATTATGCTACAAATAATTTAGTATTAAAGCTTTTTAGTTTATACCATAATATTTTAATATTATATAATACCATATTTGATAAAAATTCTTAAATCCGAAATAAGCAATTTTTTTAGCAAAATAATCTATTCATACCGTAGGCCAATGATATTAGTGCATTCATTACCATTTTTTAAAGGTAAAACTTTTTAAAAGTAGAACTTCTTTCTATCTCAAGACTTCTTACTTATTGTTAGATTATTAGTTTCCATAGGATAAATTAATACACAGCATTCAATAACAACGAAGCAAACAAAAATCGAATGTTTACGCAAATGTATTAAAATAATAAATAAAAAAGAAGTGATAAGAAGTAAATTCACTGACCTGTTTTCCACGAAATTCTATCTGGAAGTTTTTCGCAGATTCTTGGGTAACTCTTCCACCAAAATCAAGTTGGTATACTTGACTATTTTCATTCCACATTGGTGCTTTATTGTGCATCACAAATTCTCTTCTCAAAGGAGCAGGAGGAGACCCAAAGTTATTACCATTCGGCTCAATTTTACCACGTTTCAACTATAGAATAAAAAAATTAACATTAGCATTAACATTAATATAATTGTAAGAGATAATATATTTTACCTTTTGTCTTAATTGAGCTTTTTGGAATGTTTCTAAATCCCTGTAATTGCGACCACCACTACCATTAATTTGCAAGGCACCATTTGCGTTAATTTCGTCGTCTGAACTTTCTGTATTTCTGCTTTTACGACGTCTTCGATTTAGCAATGGAGAATTTAATATATGTTTTCTGCAGAAAATAAATTATTAGTCAAATTGATCTTATATGTTATTCATTCAATATATATTCTATACTATTTTGTACCTTATTGGAGAAGCAGACTGGTTTCGTTTGCCTTTTTTACTTGGAGCTGGCGAAGATGGTGAACTATGCGGTAAATGTCTATTGCTTTGGTTACTTGAATGTTGACATCTTGGCACAGCCGATTCCAAGTCCCTCATTCTAGCTAATAATAGTTCCAATGTACCCTTTGGTTGACTTTCTAAAATCACATAACAAAAAATTCATATTAAGTCATACCTGACGCAATTAAAATATTTTTAATAAATTTATAATGCGTATAAATTGCATTTACCTGGTTCTTGTCGATCAGCATTTTTACAACTACAATATTCATCTTTTTTTACAAGCAGAACATGATTTTTTCTTGCTACTTCTCTTCAAAGAAGAGCTTCTTCTTTCATAACTAGTAGTAGGCACGGAACTGCTCAACGTGTCCGAATGCGAAGAATTTGTGAAAAAACTTAATTTGGCCGTCTCAGTTGTAGTTCGTTCTCTATGAAGCATTTATAACTGATTGGAAACTTGTCGACGCGAAATTAAATACATAAATATATTCATAAATATTACTTACTTGGGAATATCAATTGGTCCACCAGAAATCATATCAGCGATCGACGCATAATCACCACTTCCAGAATCTATTTTATCGTTCTCTAAAGATTTCTCATCCTTACTGGTCACAGCACATTGTTCACTTCTTTGGGAAGATCTACTATTTGAAAAAATGTCACTAGAGTCCAAAGACCTTGATTTACCCGAACATTTCAATTTTACACATTTTCTTTCAAAACTTGGATTTGCAACATCTGCATCTGCAGGTTTTCTTGATCGTCTTTTTTCTTTATCGATCAATACTAAACGCTTAGGAGCTTCTCTTCTTGCAGTCATCAGTCCGGCGTCCAGAAAACCAGCGCTGCAACTTCTAACCATGGCTAATGGTGCTATTGATAAAGCTGTGGGAACACGTGGAATGCCTGATCGATTGATGGCAAAACTGCTAGGATTACCACCATTTGTGGAAGGCGAATACGAATGTGCTGGTATGCCTGGAGGTTGTGGTTCAAGAGGTGATTCTTCGTCGATAAATTTAATTACATCGGATGGTTTGGATTTAATTTCTCGCTGAAATAAATTTAAAAAAATTTATATAATCTACCTTAAATACATCAGCTAATTATTCATTCAAATTACCTCTTTCCTTCTTCCATACCGCCCACAAATGACACTGTTAGAGCCAGCAGACATCAAAGTAGTAGCGGGTACAATTTTTCACAATCATTTGCTGCTGCTGTGGACTTTCAGCGGCAGGTCTATCAAAAATTGTATCGCTCGCAGCCACTGCATTTCTAGGCGATTGCAAACTTGGTACGGAACCTTCACAGCATAGTGGTGAAACACCGCTATGTCTTGGATATGATGGCACATGATAGGGCAAAGTTTGTGGATGGGATATTACACTTTGATGATGAGGAATATTATTTGAAAAAGATGATTGGTTATTGGTAGAGGAACTGGAAGACGTTGATGAGCGGAGGGCTTCAGAAAAATTCACCTGTGGAATAAAAAACAATTTCAGATTGAAATAAAAAACAAGTAAAACAGTGTTATTTTATATTATCTATAAGTTACTCACCATTTCAGAAATATCGACATACGGAAACTCGTCCTCATACGACTCTGCTCTCGCCAGGGCTGCACTGGATTTGGGTTTTGTATTTGTGTTTGAGGTTGTTGCATATTAGACTTTTTCGACCGAGAAAATCTTCCAGATCTTGGCGTCATTGGAGCAATAACAGGTTGTTGAGACGTGCTTGAAGCTTAACAAAAAATAAAATAATGTAAATTAGAACTGTATATCTAGAATCAAAATTTGTGTAGTTTTAGAACTAACCAAGTGAGCTCGTTAAACTTGTCTCTACACAAACAGCAGTCTGATGTTGCTGAATTCTAGATGTTGCACTAATTTCTTCTTCGTCTTCAGAAAATAAATTAGGATTATAATTAGGGTCTGGTGCTATTGGAAAATCGTCTCTTAATTCCGTGATTACTAAAGTCATTTGCCTCGGTTGCAAATGCAAAAGTGATGTTTTATACGTAACTTGTCCTAAATTAGCGGGAACGGTCGATGCAAGTCCGTGTATTTTAAACTTTGTACCCCAAATGTTAGATGTTACTTCTACTAAACGGGTTTCCTAAAAATATAAAAATAAATACATTGTGTTAAGATGCAACAATAATATTATATAGTAGAAAAATAAATTAAATCTTCACCTCAGGTAATGTATCAGTGTACACCAATTCAGAATCCTGATTACATTCATCAGAGAATCCTGCTCTTTTCCTGCGTCTACTTCTGGCAGCTTGTTCTCTTTTCCTTCGCCGTCTCATACGTCTTGGGGCTCTTGGAGATCCACCACAGCCTTCTTCCACAGAACTGTCGTCAGAAGTGTCATCTGATCTAATAGGTCGACGATTTGGAGAAGAACCTGAGCGGCTGGATGATGATAAATGAAGATCTGAATCTGCAAAAATGGTAGAAATAGAAGAAATATTCATGATAATGATTAAGGTATGTAAGATGAAAATATGTCAATGATGGAAATGTGCACTCACCACAAAGTTGCGGATCGAATATCACAAATTCTGGTCTAATTTTACTAGTTCGCCTACCCTTTAGAAGAGGAACAAGACCACCTAAATATTCAAGGTACAATGTATAGCAAGTTCCACCAGTGCTAGAACCACCATTCCCACCACCACCTCCACTACTACCATTACTATAACAATAAATTAAAAAAAAATTAATACAATATTTATAAGTTATCAGAAGTGATCTACAATTAATTCGGTTAATTAATTACCTTGATGATCCAGAGCCAGAACCAGAGCCCTGTCCAGCTCCAATAATATTTTGAGAAGGTGCTGGTACTAAATCATTATCATGTCTGATCATGGTACAATGTAAACGTGTGGAAGAGCTAGGAGGTCTAGACACAAACTCTCGAATTTCTGTGCTGTCTGGAACGCAACACTGAAAATAAATAATAAGTTGCAATAATTCAAAGAATTGATGAACTTCAAATAAATCATATTTATCTCACTCTTATCGTTGGCGAAAATAATCTTTCAATGGGGTTTCTGACGGCTTGTGGTAATTGCAATTTAGCCAATTGAGCTTCACTTCTGATACAGTTTTGAACACGGAGACCACAAAGAAGTTGAAGACTAGCCATTCCTCCAGTTTGAACACAAGCCACGTGCACTCTTGAACCGGTCGCAACAAATATTCGTAGGTCATTATGACCCCAAGTCATGGCTGATACAGGACTCTGGAATAAAAAAGCAGAATATTGTATAATCCGTTACATCGTATATTAATAATTTTTTTATTTATATATTGTATACCTGATCATGAGGAATTCTAGCACTATAGAGTAAATTTCCGCTGTCAGTATAAAATTTCAAAACGTTGTTGAATGGTCCACCGCCATTGCAATTAGGTGGACCGCTAATTAAAGTACCAGCAACTGCAAGCAAACGTTTCGAGTTGCTCCACTCCATTATCAGACCTGGTCCTCCAGCCAGACCTGTTTCTATATGGGCTGGTGATACGTCATCGAAACTTTTCAAAAGGTAAACAGACCCTGATTGGAGGCTGACGGCAAGGACATACTGTTGTTTACCTGAAAAAAAAAAAAAAAAATTAAAACTCAGTAAAATTCTAACATTCTTAATTGTGATTTATTTGCTGTAACTGCAATAGTTCATATGACTGAGTCGTGTTCATTCCAACTGATCTGGATTGTAATAATTATATAAGCAGAGATTTTGCAATTTAAATAAGAATGTATGTATAATTATATTTTATTTAAAGCTGTGCATTTATACTGTATCAACTCTGAACAGATAAACTCAGTTTATTCCCAGCATATCTTCATCCTTGTATTATATTTGAATATAATGTATGCATTAAGTTACGCGTAAGCTTGATATATGTTTCAAAGTGCAAAATCATACCAAGCCTTATACTAAAACATTTTTCATGTAAAATTCTCTATGGCGAATCCAATAAAGTTTCAGTACTATATCATTCCTGTAATATTAACATAAGACCGAGGTGTGCGAGCAGAATTCTGTACCGGGTGGAGAGATTATCGGAAACTTTAAGTCTATTTATCATTCATATCTTTCAGCCAAATAGGGGGAAACCAAAATCCAGATGAAATATTAACTAGTTTTGAAACTGTTCCGAACTTTTCGTAGTCAGATAGTAAATTAAAATTGATTTATCTTGTTTATTGTTGTTGAGATTTGGGAATAGTCGGTGTAATAATAATAATGCTTTTAGAACTTATTTTCTTTCACTCTCACATTGTTTATGATCAGCAAATAGTAAGATTTATTTAGTTATACGACATAAGCTATAAAATAATAATATTGTTTCAGATTACTTACTTTTCCCAGATTCAATTTCATCGTCCTCATCTTCCATTTTAAATCGTTCACACGACCAGACCATTTCGACAATTCCAACTTCGGCACTAAGTTGCACCTGTAACATTTAAGTCAGAAACTATTGCAACAAGGTTAAAACTTTGTCAGACAAGAATATAATTAAAATGGAAATAATTAAACACGACACGAATACGAGAATAGATTTAAAATACAAGCATCTAAATATAGTCACCTACTATATTAATATTTTATACCACTATCATAAATTTATTGCTGTAATGTTATGTATATATTTATCATTTACCTGAGATACCATTGCACCATGAACGTCCATAACAATTATCTGACCAGTATCTGTCCCGAAATAGACCTGCTGATCGTCTGGTGTCCACATTCCACAATTTATGGTGGCATCCAGATTGAGCATGGACGACCAGTAACGTTGGCCTGATACGGAACCAACCAGTACAAAACCATCCTGAAAAATAAAAACAAGATATATTGATATCAGAAATGTTATAGATAGCTGGTATTAGTATGAGAAAAATCATAAAATAAATTTTAGATGACTAATATTTGTTTACTTTAATAGAAGTATTTTTGATTTGTATAAATATATAGCATTCCAATAGCCAATTACCAACTTCTGTTTGCGCTATTTGCGTTTCTAAAAATAATAAAATATAATCAAAAGTTTGAACATTCAAGTACCAATCACCAATGAATTATAAGTATTATGTTTGTGTAAGCAGAATGTAATTATAATGTAAATTATAATAATATTGTTATGATTTATTTAAAATTTAAATAATATTATTTAAAAGTTATTAAATATATATAATTTTCAAGTCTAAATAAGGACTTGACCATAATAACTAAGATTACAGATTTTTTCTGTTAATATAAACGATATAGATGTTTCCTTGCATGCAATATAAAAGCAAGTCTTTATTCTATAAGATGAATAAAATTTACATAATGCAACGCTTAAGTAACAAATTTACTGCATCATTTCATAATATAGTAACATATTAAATATTCATGACTTAATCTTACATAAAATGCAAAGTTTATGCTTGATAGGAATATGAGAGTAATCAACCGAAAAAGTAATATAAAAAATAGTAAATACAAATAAATTAGAAATAATTTAACTAATAACAGTATAACAAATACAATAATTTACATAATCATAATTATAAACGTTTATGTTCAGAATAATGCAATTATGTTACTAATTACAGACATATAATAGATTTTTCATTTCATTTTATATTTATGTCATCTAATATTTATGCAGTTGGATTTGTACATTTATTCATTAAAACTTCTGTCTGATGTTTATGTTGATTATTTTATTAATTATAATATTTAGTACATTATAATTAACTTCCCCTAATCGAAACTAAAAATTTTTGCATATCTACACGTTTCAAAGACTTTTGAAAATTTTGCCATACCTTGGAAAAAATTGAAGTTCCAGCAATTTGCCTTAAAACACGACGTATTACTAGTTTATATTATATTTTTGGTGATTTTATTACACATAACAAAATTCAATTCTCTGTTTACTATCTGAATGGTTGCAACATTTTTAAAATTAAAATCTCAATCGACATCAGTACACTTTATTCGCCTCCTTTATCAGCCTCTGATATAATATATAAACCTACTTTATGGCATTTCGAAAGGAATATCTGGTTATTTATTTCGACAGTTTATAGAAAAAGAGGTATATCAAGACACTACATTATAAATAAGGATAACGCGTCTCGGTCCATTGTAGTTTTTATCTTAAAGGATTCGCACATCGATGCACACGACAAAAGGGCTTTGAGCTTATAAGCTGGAAATATGGATATATACATACACACACACACGTATATATATACATATATTTAGAGGGGGTCCCAGAACTCAACATCAAGCTAAAACGAAGTAATAGTATTGACAGTCCTGAAAAAAAATAAACAAAAACATTATCCCACGTTGTTTGGATGTTATGAGCTTTTAAGTGAGCTTTGGTCAAATTGTGAACATTTTTCGGTTATTTTGGTTCATTTATATTACTCTGTACCCTATAATATAATTATCATTATTCTGTATATACGATGAATGATAATTCACTATTTGGTATATATATTTATAAACAAAAGTTCATCAAAATAAACCAATTAAATTCATCTAAATAATAGCATCGCAAATAAAATTATGAACTTTTATATAAAACTAGCAAACCGGGCGAACTCCGTTTCACCACCAGATGGTTTCATTTTATGTAACATTTCGTTTGGAGTTTAAAAAATGAAGAAAAAAATTGCCTGCTGTTGAACTTGAATAAAAATTTGCACAATACACGCAATTGATTTGATGGTTTCCAATTGAAATGTTACGAAACGAAAAATTTATTTTTTTACTTTTTTGCACAATTTCAGAGTGAAATCAATGCCGGTTAGTCACATAAAATTAACTGAGCAGCAAACAATGAGTAGCTGTCAAACATAAAATATTAGTTTGTAGTACATGCTAAGTATTAGAGGTGACGCTGTATGTGAAAAAAGAAAAAGTGTTTTCTGCATTTCTCAATTTTCTTTGCTAGAAACTTCACAGAGTCCGAGACCTTTCCAACGAATGCAAAATCGTCGAAATCGGTTCGTGCGTTCTGGAGTTATATCGTCAGGAAGGAAAACCCGACTTATTTTTATATAATAGAATATAATAAAGAAATAATATAGCGTAGCAAACATTTCTGCGAACATATAGCATAAAAGCACAAATGTAAGTCTTCATTAATATTTCACATTTCTCAGAAATAAATTCAAAGCTTTTCTGAGAAATATAATAAGTGTCCTTTCAAGTCGCACATTCAAGTAAATAGTTGAAACTTAATAAACGTTCTGCTACAATTATATTTCCATTTCTCGTTAAAAATCTTTTCTCGAATCGAAAATAAGTCCGCTGTTAGTATTTATTTATTCCATCTCGATAAAATATCGTATCGTCAAGCGCGCAATAACCATTTCAATGATTACGTAATACAAAATTCTCTGTGCACAAACAATCAATTTGAATAAAAGCAGAAATATGAATCTCCGACAATTTTAATTGGAATATTCAGTATTATGTCGGTTATAATTAAATTATGTAACGTGCATCTGCATTTGATCAAAGCAAAGTTTTCTGGTGAAGAGCATTATCAACCGAGGGATCAATAAGGGAGGTTACGATAGTGTATTCATTGTCAAAGGTATATAATGTTCTACTCCAAGTGAGGGGGTATATACGATTAATTAAACACGACCAGATAAACAGCTTTAGTTTAAATCGGTATTATACGTTTTAATGAACATTTTAATTAAATTACAATAATTGGAAAATTTATTTTGTAAAATTTTCTGTAATTCAGATTTTTTTATTTACATATTTATGAATGTTTTATGTATGGTACTAATTAAAATAATCATATTAGTGGTCCATCAAACTATAAATATGTCAATATAATTTTAATGATAACTAGTGGTGCATGGCATCGTGCCTTAAGGCAAATTGCTATAATAATTAAACTAATTACTATATATATAAACTAAACTAATTACTATAATAATTAGGAGTTTGTGGTAAGAGAGTGAAAATTTAGGGTTATATGTACAAATTGACTCAAAAAATGTACAATGGCCAATCCCTACCACTTGGGTATAACCAAAATATACAAAAACTTGTGAGGAAATATACCTAAAATTTTCTCAAATTTTCATGACCATTGGATATATATATATATATATATATATATATATATATATATATATATATGATAGTTTTGTCGACGTTGATACATATTTGTAATATTTTTGCAATCGTCGACTATACTTGCGTTGTAACCTTGATCAGTGTCCATAATGCACCGCTATTAATAGCATAAAACATAGGAGGGCAATATGTCCTCCTTAAATTTCTCGTTTGTTAATATAATAGTATATTATTATTTTACACAAATTTAGTGTTCAATCAATTTTACATCATGATTAATTTTTTCTGTTGTTTTTCTTGGTTTGGTATGAATAATTTCCACCTTTTTTATATATTTATATTTATCATCAACTTTGTATTTATGTTATGTTTTTTAGATTACTGTATGATGACACACATCAAGTGTCGAAACGTTTAATGGAATAAATAATTTTGTTATTTAATCTTTTTTTTCTTAATTCGACGATTGGGCTGCAAAAATATTACATATACATATATATATATATATATATATATATATATATATACATATTAATGAACGCTATTATTTTAGTAACTACAGTTTCCAACTCGATTTGGCCTATGGCACATGGCAATTAATTTAGAAATCCAATCAACTGACGCATTTATATTACATAACAAATATACTTTGTTAAATAAATCTAGTGATACTATTTTATAGTATATATATATATATATATATATATATATATATATATATATATATATATAAATATATATATGTGGATTCAAATCCACAGCAACATGGGTGCATAACTAATTATACATAATAAATGCAATCAGATTCCACAATCAAATCCAGCTCGAATGCACTGGATTATCCAACTAATTATTCCCACGTACGCAGTTTCGCTCGATAAATAAATTTGAACAATTTATTTTTAACACAAATAATTTTCATATTTTATAAAAATTGATATAATAAATTATGAAAATATGATATTCAATTCATGAGACTAACCTGGTAACAAATTAGAGCCATCCTTCCATCGTGGGACCATGAAAAATGAGTAACTGGGGTACTTCGGTCATTTATCAGTTCAATGGACCATCTGCCGTCGTATTTGATCCAGACGAATATTACTCCAGAACTGTCACAAGAGGCCAATTTCTGATAAGGCTCGTTCCATTTCACCATGACGACCTAGTTTAGAAAAATCACAAAAGAATTAGATTTTTTGGGTGAATAATAGGATAATAGATCAAGACAATCCTTTCCTTTCCAATCCAATCCCTTGAAAAGTAGTTGACTGCATTTTAATCAAATACATAGACAATGATTAACAAAACTTATTTTATGTGGTCTAAATATTTTTTTAATTATGATCGATGATGAACTACTATCACCAAGATTGATTAAATATATCATTTTCGTTTTTTAATAGAAAGTAAATATAAGGATAATCGATCAGAAAGTTTGGGCATCCTTTGTATATTGAATTAGACAAAATAAAAATCATTGGCTTTTATATTTTTTTTTCAAATGAATTAGGACCAACAAAACATATTTCATCTAGACTTAATATTTTCATTTAATTAAAATAGAATAATAGACTTAAATTTTCCTTTTCTTTCTAGCTACCGAGATTAAATAAATATATCATTTACGTTTTTTGATTTTCATCTCAGTTCTGATAATGAAAGCTTCAGTATTTGTAGAATTTTTATTCCTCGTTGCACTGAAATAATTTGCATTAAAAGCAATGTAGCTTTTGAAGTAAAAGCTCACGGCTTTAATGAAAATTACACCGTTATTATGCGCTCTTTAAATCCTCAAAGAGTTCGAATATCACAAGAGCAGCATTTGTTTCAGGAATAATATAAAGAACTTGTTTCTGTTATAAACATATATTTTTTGTGAAATAATCTAGAAATACGTAGAAGTAAAATAATATGATAGCAACACGCCACACACAAAAATATGTTTAATAAAAATCCCAATATAAAAAATGAAGTGAAACATAATATCGTAGGAAAACAAAGGCAAAAAAATCAACTACAAAGCAAGTTAATTAAATTGAACTCTTGGGCCTAAGGCTCTAAAAATATAAGAAAATATGAGATGAAAGAAATCAATAAAATATAACTAACAACACTCAAGGTATTGGTAAAGCAAATTTATATGATTTTAATACAACGATTTCAAAGTATTTTAATAATAATCTCAATATAAAAAATGAAGTAAAATATATTGGCTTAGAAAAAAAGGCCAAAAAATCAAGTACCAAGCAAGTTAATTAAATTGAACACTCTGGGGCCTATGGTTGAAAATATATAAAAAAGAAGTGAAGAAAACAATATGAGATTTATTAAGTTGAGATGAAAAAAATCAGTAAAATATAACTAACTAGCAAACCGAGCGAACTCCGTTTCACCACCAGATGGTTTCATTTTATGTAACATTTCGTTTGGTGATTAAAAGATGAAGAAAAAAATTGCCTGCTGTTGAAATTGAATAAAAATTTGCACAATACACATCATTGATTTGATGGTTTCCAATTGAAATGCTAAGAATTACATTTATTTGATTACTTATTTTTTTACATTTTTTGCAAAATTTCACAGTGAACATAATGCCATGTTTGTCACATGAAATTAACTGAGCAGAGAACAATGAGTAGCTGTCAAACAAAAAATATTAGTTTGTAGTACATGCTAAGTATCAGATAAAAGTAAGTGAAAAAAGAAAAATTGTGCAAAATAATTTATGATCTTGAAACACCGACCTCAAAAATATTTTTAATAAAAATTTCAAAAAAACTGCAGTAAAGAATAATAAAGTAGAAAAAATTTTACTTACAGGAAAGTTAATTGAATTCGACCATCTGAGACATGGTTCGCAATGTATTCAAAATGATGTAAAAAACAATTTTGGCTTTAGCAAGTTTTGATGAGGTAAAAGAAATCAATAAAATATTACTAATAGCACTCATCACGTCGGTAAATATCTAATTTAATCAATAACGGCCACACATTTTATGTAATTTGTAACAGATATAACAATAAACACATCAATTCATTCCCAAACGACAGTCTTTACTAAAATGATATATTATACCGCGTAAATAAAATATATATGAATATGTCAATGTCATATTGATTCCACGTAAAAGCTGTTACGCAGAAACATATTGCGTGCGAAGACGCCTTAAGAAGCTTTTCTTGAGAATTATGATAACAAAAGTAAGGAAATGAAATCAAATTCAATCTTAGGAAAATGGATATTGGAAAATACAAAATATCTAGAGTTCATTTTATCCGAGAAAGGTTATAGGAGCACTCTATTTGCTTTGCGATTCCAGGAAAATACAAGTAAAATAAGATACAAAGATGCAAGATACGAAGTAACATAACATTTGGAATATTACTATAAATGTTTCAAAAACATTAAAAAATAAAGCAGAAAGATGAGCAAATTTTGTTTTAAAATATGCTTTGATATTCGATCTCATTTTTCCAAGAGTTTGAGAATACTTGGAGTTTTAAGTAAAAAACGAACAAATTAAATTAAAATTATTAAAAGAGTTGAGAGGCAAAATCAAACAACCATTAGAAAATTTAAATCAGGTTACAATGGGAATATAATAAAAAATAAAAGAAATGTATAAGTTCAAATAAAATTTGGCAAAATATAACGAGCATTAAGAAAGTATAATCTGATTCGTATAATCTGAGGAAAAATAAAAAAAATATTGTAGAAGTTAAGGTGAAAATAAATACAGCTGATTGGAGATTTGCATAAAATAAAAAAATTGAAAAAAGTCGATGATGGTGAAAGGTGAAATTTACGAAGAGTGCTCTTATATCAAGTATCTCATTTCTGGAGAGGCTTTTATTATCATCGTTATGCATTGTATGTGAAATTATGATCATTAAAAATTTATCAATTTATAATTTATATATTATTGATTTGAACGAAATTTCGAAACGCAATATAAAACGCTCATTTTTATTATTGTTTATGGAACAAGAAGGTATTTAATTTTATTATCTAAAGAATTTGTAGCGACGACGACGTGGAATACCTTGATTACTATGTTTAATAAACTTTTGGATGACGAGTATCAAATTCGAATATTCAATAACAAATTTTAATTTCAAAACATCATTTGCAAAAATAGAAGAAATACGAATGTGTTTCAATAGTTATGTATGTAAATGAAAAAATAATAAATACTGATGTAAATCCATGCTCTTCTGGTACTCAAATCCAATACAGTAATTCAATTTTCCTCAAATAAGTACTGAATACTGAAGTAATTTTATATTTTACTTATATTTTACTGAAGAGTAAAACCTCATTATAATTGGAGATGTATCAAAATATGCAATTTTCAGATAGGAAATAAGTGTAATATAGTATAGATAGTTTGAGTTCAAATCTGAATTTTAGAGTAAATCCATTATTACTAAATACTTATTATTTTTATTACGATCTACTCACATCAGCTCTATGTCCTCTCAAATTGTAATTAGTTCTTACTGGATGATCAGACTTTTTGCCAGTGTTACTTGTGGTATAGGTGACACCAACCACACCTCGAACGTTGGCCGTAGCCAGCCAACCGTCTTCATAGTAATGCTGGCGATTTAACATCCAATCTTCATGCTGGAAAAAAGATAATAAATAATTAAAATGTTAATTTAAAATTGAATTACTAATATAAAATATTAGAAGTTCATTCTTCAACAATATTTAAAAAATATAAGTTACGAATGGTAATTGCATGTGCAGTTTTTGTTACAATAACCCTAAATATTTTTAATAGTTGAGAGCACAAAAGGGTAACTTTTGTTTATCTATATCAAAAATACTTCAAATTTGATTAAAGCCATATTTACGACATCTGTACCCACTGAACAGTAATCTAATCTTTCTTAAATTATTTCGGTCTCTTCCAACATCTAAGGCCTAAGCAATATATAAGGATGAGAAAACTTCCAAAACAAGACAAACTCATTTAAATTTCAGTCAACCCAAATTCTTGTTCTGAATTGGTAATAATATCTCTTAACCTTAAGAGTTGTAATGGGAAATTTAAATTGCAATGCAAATATATTTCAGAAACTTTATTCGGAATTTATTACGATACCAGAGGAAGGGAAAGGGATCATCATCTGTGTGTATGATACTAGTTCCTTTGAGTTTCTATATTATTTGAGTTAAACCAAATAAATATGTTGTGCCCCATCCAGCGACGGAGCCAACAAAATGTAGGTTCTTCCTGCTGCTAAGTATCAAGCTAATACCAAACTGAAAGCGAATCAGTAAAACAGATGAAGACTTTTGATGTTTACGTTTATTTCATGATTCTTATATACTTTTCATATAACTTCAACACTGAACTTAAATATAATTCCATTGATTACTTAATATGTTTCTCTGGTATATTTTTTGGATGGCAGTAATTTTTTTTTAATTTCTCAAATATGTCAATTTGAGTAAATTTTTGATGCAAATAAATTTATGCAGAACTATGGTACCAATTTGCCTTAAGGCAAATAGCATGAGCATACCAATTTGTGTCAGTAATCAATGAATCAATAACAACAGATGTTTAAAAACTTCAATATTAGTGCCAAATTTTCTAGAAGAAACCATAAAATTAGTAAGCAGCAATTTCTAGCTAAAACATAGAATTTCCTTTCGGATGGTAATAATAAATAAAAGTTAAGACTTGGCAATCGAATGGTTAAGAAGGATTAAGGAGGTGGCCAAAACAAAAACATCACCATTTTGTATCATGGGCTCCAAAAAGCTCCTAACATAAATAGTGAGATCCAAAAAATAAATATATATATAGAAATCAAATAGCTATTGAAATAAGAGCTTTTTTACAAAGTAGACGTATGTATTTACTATTTCTTAAAAAACTCCGTTTACTACCAATATTAGCAATACTTGTACACTGTTTTCAGTCCCATTATTGTTATCTGGTGACATGAAATGTACCAAGGAGTACCATAAATTTGTAGGTAATCTGATTACCATCAAGATTTGTACGGGGCTGCACAATGTTCAGGAACACAAAACATAGACGACTGAACAACGGGCAACGTAATATGTAGTTCAGATAAGGTAATAATATTACCTTAATGTTACGTAAAGGTAGTCAGAATATACCAGAAAAGCCTATAACACGTCTGAAGGTGTATTAAAAAAATAAACTGGAGGAAGGTAATAAATTGACTCGGTTTTGGAATAATTTTCCAAAGAAAAAAAGAAAGAAGAATTTTCTAAATCGTTTCGAATGAATCTCGAAACATGGGTGTTTGCTTCATAAAGTTGATATTTTTGCTTCGAGGATGATCATGAAAATTCTGAGTACACACTCTGAATAAAATAGAAAAAATTACAATTGATCATCAAAAGTCTTTTTTGACTGTTCAAAATGTATTTATTGTAGTTGTATGAGCTAAATCAAGCGTTTTCTGTGTTTAGAATATAGTTTGGCATTGAATGTTTCCTATACCAAACTATATCTGGGGTGGATTTTCCAAGGACTTCTATGTTAGGATTTCTGTGTTCTTTGCACTCGAGATAAAAACTTTCAGTGAGCTTTTTGAAATGTCTGAGCTTCCTGAAATTGTTCGAGTAATAGTGTACTTGTTCGAGAAAATTTAATGTAATTTTATTGTTCAATAAAGGTATAATAACATTCAATATGCTATAAGTCTGTGCTAATTTTGTAGTCACATGTTTATTGAAATTTAGCCTCCCTTTCAGTGTTTTTTCTCTAGGACAGGGCTTCTTAAACTATGGGTCGAGGAAAATTCTGGGGTCGGGGGAGTTTGTCAAATATTTATATCATTTTTCAATTTTACAACGAATATATGAATTATAAATAAATATATATTTTCTTCTCTACAACATCTTTCGTGAATCCTCGTTTTTTTCAACGGGTGTGCTCGGATCTTTGCTCGCAACTTACATTAACCAAATCCTTAGTTTAACTTTAAAATATTTTTTTTTTACTTTATTTGTTTATTTTCTATATGTTATTTTTTTGTTAGTGTTTTTCCTGGTGTGGTATGTATCAGCTTTTTACTTGCCATTTAATTTTTTAATCTATGATATATTTCAAATTTAATCTTTTTTAAACTCTGTAAAAATTCTTTTAGATATGTAAAAATATTAAAAAAAAATGCTGAATGATGACACACAACCGTGTCGAAACGTATAAATAAATAGTTCATAATTTATTGTTTCTTTTATTTCGACGATTGGCTGCAAATTAACACTCAAGTGTCTCAACATCAAACAAAAAAATCTAAATCTTATATTTTTATATGTATCTGTATATGTATATTATTTCCAAATAAGAAGCCCTGCTCAAGGATTTCGTTAATCCAGGTAATCCTAAAAGTTTAATTCTGATAAGCTTCTCAATTTAACAACCCTTGAGAAAATATCGTCAAAAGTATCACGTTTTCATCAACTCTAATGTATTTTGGAATTATCCAATCTCATTAGAAAGTCATCGTTTCATATAATATTTTCTAAAAAAAATCTATATTTTTGTAAAACAAAGTGTGTAACTTACATATCATCCAGTTAGTAAAGCTGTTTATTTTTAATTCGTGTAATTAGTAGTTGCAATCATAAACATTGCTTAATGAAGTAACGAATCTAAATTAATAAAATAACTGTTTTGACATAGTGTAAAGTTGCTTAAGTCGTACCACCGTTTGATGATAATAAGCCTATATATAGTCCAGTCATTTAAGCTTAAATTACGTAAGAATCTCGGAGTTCGAGATACCCAGCTGTAAGTCTGTAAATACTTGTATTTTGCACCCTAAAAGTTGTCTCAAAACCTACATATGTTGCGTACACCCTACCATATGTAGGTTTTGAGACAACATTTAGGGTGAAAAATACAAGTATTTACAGACTTACAGCTGGGTATCTCAAATTCCGAGGTGAACTGGGCTAATAATAAAAATTGCAATTGTGAATAATGACTGGGCTAATAATAAAAATTGTAAACTTCAAAAAAGTAGTTCTATTTTGATTGATTTATGTAGTTCTATTTTTGACTATATATTACTGAATTATTACTGATTCAACATGTAGACATGTAATATATCAAGTTAATTGCCCCAAAAATATTAGTTCCATCAAAGTTATCACTTCTACTAAAAAGTATATATTTTCATATTACTTTAATTTCCTCAATTTATCAAAAAACCGACGAAATATTAAATTACATTATCGTCACAACAATTCCGTGTTCCGCTAATGGTACATGACGATATGAGTTATATATTGCGTGATCCGCGTTCCATGTAGGCAGTATGTTATAATTTTCCTATATATAGATATATATCTGTATAAAATATATCTTTAACCAGTATAACGTATGCAGTGGGTTAGACTATAACTGGGTTAAGGTCTCCATGAACCCCATTCCACGAGGGAATTCATTTTTAATTCACGCAAACGATCGAAGTTCAACATTGTACAGTTGAAATAATGCACGTGCGTACATTTGGACTGAAGTTGGGGATGTAGAGGTGAATTTGTAAATAGTTGAAGTTACAAATGTAGAGAGCAGTAGAAATTTTCAAAAAATGACTCAAAAATATATAGACAAACATGGTAAACCCCGAGTAAGAATACTAGTTACCCAAATGACTTGTATTTAGAGTTGCTTTTTGGATTTTTAATCTTAATCGTTTGAAACCTAAACATTTGAAACAGTTTTTGCCGAATATTTCGGGAACGGTGAGAGGTATCATAATTTTTTTATACTGGGTTAAAAACCTTTTTATTTAGAATATTTCATCCTAGGATATGAAAGTCCTATAATGAATCGTTTCAAAGTTATAACCGTTTAAAGACTTCATATGGAAAAAATTTCGAAAAATAAGTTAGTCAAGTCAATTAATGAAATTTCTTCTGCCATAAAAAAAATGTGCAACAAATTATGCCGGGATATAACTCCGTTCGGATATGACTCCGCTCGGATATGACTCCGGTCAGATATATTACCGCCCGGATATGACTCCGCCCGGATATAATTCCGGTCGGATATAACTGCGGTCGGATATAACTCCGGTCGGATATAACTTCGGTCGCATATGACTTCGGATATGACCCGGCCCGGATATGACTCCGTCCGAATATGACTCCGGATATGATTACGCTCGGATATGACGCCGGTCGGATATGACTCCGGTCGAATATGACTCCGGATATGAATACTCCGGTTGGATATGACTACGGTCGGATATGACTTCGGTCGGATATAACTGCGGTCGGATATGACTCCGGTAGAATATCATTCCGTCCGGATATGACTCCGGTCGGATATGACTCCGGACATAATTGCAGTCGAATATAAATCCGGTCGGATAGGACTCCGGGCGAATAGGACTCCGGTCGGATATGATTCCGTCCGGATATGACTCCGTATGGATATGACTCCGTCCGGTTATGACTCCGGTCGGATATGAGACCGGTCGAATATGATTCCGTCCGGATATAACTCCGGCCGTAAATAACTCCGGTAGGATATGACTCCAGTCGGTTATGACTCCGGTCGGATATAACACAGGTCGGATATAACTCCGGTCGGATATAACTCCGGTCGGATATGACTCCACTCCACCTATGGAGTGAAAAGGGACCTGGTGACAAACTTTTGAAAATCAGCAATAAAAACACCATCTACAATGATGGATTTACCTGGTATGAATTACCAGGGATTTTTACTGAACGTAGTCAGATATGTGTTATCTTATATTTGTTGTGATATAATTGGTTTGTTTTTTACAATATAATTGCTCAAAGTCAAATTGGACCTTAGTGCCCTGTTCTACCCTATCAAGAATAGTGCCTATAATTAGCAATTATTGTAAACATTCAGACTCCATAAAAAATTTTGGCCAGGTGGTACGTTTAGAACCACAAAATGTAATCGATCCATTATTTTTCCAATTTTTTTCGTATAAAATTCTCTGTCTGTTATTATATTTACATTCACTATATTTTATTATGCCATGTTCCTAACATAAGTAGGTCTACCAGAATTTCAATTATTCTATTTAATTGAAAATCTCGACGTTTTTTTATCACAGCCTCGGAAAAATAATTTAGCGCGCAGTAAGTGATAACGCATTTTCCGAGTTTACATAGTACTTCAAACTGCCAGAGATCATACAATAGAACTTGAGGAATCTATAAAGAAAAAACTTTTTATATCAAAGCTTTCTAAGAATCAGGCGTCTAAGTATTGGAAAAGTGATTAATTTCAAGTTTCACAAAAGCTGAATAATACTTATACTTTGCCATTAAGTTATGCTGAATAAATTCTTATATCGTTTCTACCCACGGGATATAACTTACATTTTTAACAGAAAAAAGTATAAGTTTGCCACATTATTGATGAATTGATAACTATTAGAATACATAGCTGTATAAAGAAATATGGAAAAATCGGAACGAGTCCTGTGGAAAAAATATTTAAATTGTAATGTTGAAATTGAATTGTGATTTTTGATAATGTTTGGATTTTTTTAAAACTTTAGGTAAAATATAAATACACGTGATATCTATCCCTCCCTCCCCCATGTGATATTTCGTGATTTTTTATTAAAAACCTCACGTGATTAATGGACGCACCCTAACTCCTAATAAAACAATAATTTAGAAAATAAACCATTATTTTCTCTTATAAGCATTATCTAAACCTCTTTAGGGCACAATATGTATATATTGCAAGTCATGTCAACATAACAATCGGGTTGTTATTACATCAACGTAAACAGGCGTACATGAGACTCTATTATCTTTCGATTAGTGATTCTGGAGCTAGAACCAAGAACGCCCTTAGGCGTTGCTCCTTGATGAGAATCGACAAACATAAATATTACAGGAGACGAAACATAGAAAAACATTAAGGGGTTTGTTTGGTTTTTATTTATTTTTTTTCGATTTTGAGATTTTTTGATATTATGAAAACTAAAAACCTTAGAATTATTTAAAACAAAATCATCTCAATATCTATTTTTTTGACAAAGTTATAGATATATATATATCTCTATATGTATGATCGTCTGAAACCGTTTTTTTCATCGCTCCGCGAGCTATTGTATGCCAGGTGCTCTCTTTTTCATTATAATACCTCATGCGCATGACCTTTTTAATGTGTCAGCATCTTTGAACACCATGGTGTATTTAGTACATTAAATTAAATGGTGTATTTAGTACATTATATTAAAAACTTTAAATACGTTTTTCTCAAATTGACTTTTTACAACGCGGTGCCACAAATTAAAAAAAAAAACAAGTCAGATCGACTTGCATTTTTTTAATTTATTCACCACTGCAATACCTAGTCCCCCTACCTCAAACAACTTGATAACATTACGCAAAAAGCGTTACTTTGCGAAGCTTCTCGCCCCAAGAAAGAGGCATTTTTTAACACTTTTTTTAAATAGCTGTCATTTTTTTCCTTCTTGCTTTTTTTCTTTCATTTTGGTAGGGGGACTGGATTCAAACTTCTTCTTCAACGTAGTTTCTTTTTTTTGTTTCAAGCGATGCGCAACAGATTTATCTGTGGCACCGCAAAAGAGATCGATTTTGCAAGGCCGACTTTGGCGGCCCTGGTTAAAAAATGACAGCGAAAAAAAAAGAAAATTTCTTAATATTCTATGATTTTGTAATTTTTGTTAAAAAAAAACGCCATGTCTCTATGATAAATACATTTCGAGAAAAACAAAAACAAATGCCTTGCATTTTTTGTAAAAAAAAAAGAACAACCCCCTTAAGTGTATTTTACTGAAATTTATTCATACAACACATATAAAAATTAAAAATAAATCACTTACCTCAGGTATATCATCCGGCACCGTTCCCATCCACGAGAGCGACAAAATGGAGCAGTCGCACCTCGTATTGTTCCTTTCGAAATGTAAATGCATTTTCCTCGCTTATTTTTTATTCTGCTTGATTTTTTCACGAGATTTTACGTTTTTACGTTAATCTCTGTCGAAAAACGATACAGCACATTTCAAAGTTCAAGCCATAACGGTAACCACTGAAATTTTTATGAGCGCTTTTTACGTTTGTGAATAAAAAGGATGTAATTCCGAGACAACTTTAAGCCATGACGATACAACTAAAGCTCCGTGATGCTATCAAGTCACCGAACTTTCAAGTCGCAAGTGCTCCTAAGAGCTTTACGCGGTTTGTGTAATGGAATGCACATTCTGAACAAATTATAAACTGTGCAATATTATTAAAGCTTAAACTAGGTTTAGTATAAATATATCTTGAGATCCAGTACTAAACGAACAATCTCAATATAATTCAATAGCATTATTTTAAGTATTTTTAGACAATTTTATTTTAAATAAAAAATTATTTTATTGAAAACCACAACACAGATTTAATTATTTTTTTATATATCGTTTTAATAACTATCTTGCCAATTCAAGTTGATATCTTCGGATGTATCTGAAAATAAAATATAAAATATATATAGTAAACAAATAATATATACGTTAATCAATTTTATAGACTTATAGATATACATTTTTAAACAAATATTTAGAAAAATATGGGAAAATTATTTTGAAAACAGTAAAGATAATTTCTTTTTTTTAAAAAAAAATATTTTTGAAATATTTTTCTAAATATTTGTTTATATATAAAATTCCTACGAGATTTGTACGAGATTCAATGAGATTCATCGAGATTCAAACGAGTTTCATCGTGATTCGTACAAGATTCATCGAGATTCGAACGAGTTTCATCGCGATTCGTACGAGATTCAAACGAGATTCATCAAGATTCGTACGAGATTCTTACGAGATTCATCTAGATTTATCGAGATTCATCGAGGTTTATCGAGATTCGTACGAGATTCAATAAGATTCAACAAGATTCAACGAGATTCATCGAGATTGAATGAGATTTAAACGAGATTCGTACGAGATTCATCGAGATCTGTACGAGATTCGTACGAAATTCAACAAGAATTATCTAGATTCGAACGAGATTTATGGAGATTAGTACGAGATTCAACAATATTCAACGAGATTCGTACGAGATTCCACAAGATTCAACGAGATTCGTACGAGATTCAACGAGATTCATCGAGATTTGTACGAAATTCAACGACATTCATCGAGATTTGCTCGAGATTCAATCGAGATTCATTAAGATTCGTACGAGATTTGTTCAAGATTCAACAAGATTCAACGAGATTCATCGAGATTCATGGAGATTCGAAGAAGTTTCATCGTGTTTCGTATGAGATTTGTACGGGATTTATTGAAATTCGTAACAGAATCATCGAGATTTAACGAGATTCATCGAAATTCATCGTGATTCGTACGAGATTTATTGAGATTCGTAACAGAATGACCGAGATTTAACGAGATTCTAAGAGATTCATCGAGATTTGTACGGGATTCATTGAAATTCATAACAAAATCATCGAGATTTTACGAGATTCATCGAGATTCAACAAGATTCAAATGAGATTCAACGAGATTCATCAAGATTTAACGAGATTCGAACGAGATTCATGGAGATTCATAGAGATATTTTATTATATACCTATCAAATATAATATTTTGATATATATGGAAATAATCTAATAACCAAAAGCCATTTAAAAAAGATAAATCGATAGATAAGACAGAGAGACAGTCATGTATGTATGACATAAAAAATGGTGTTTTTCAAGAAATTTTTGCAAAAAAATTCCTTTGATACATTTTTAATTAAATTATCTAATAAAGTTACCATGGCAAGTACTTTGCCTTAAGATATTAATTTATGAGTTTTTTATAAAAATATCGAGTCACTGTTTACCTCGGTACGGGAGTACATGCAACTTGCCTTAAGGCAAAATACCACTTACATCTAGTTTTTATATAATTTGCATATTAAGCCTCGTTTTTGAATAAAAACAAGGCTTCCAAAAAATTTTCACCCCTAAGGGTAAGGTTCAAAGTTACATATGGGCGGCGTGCATTCACATTGATAAAGTAAATGTGAGCAGTATTTCACAACGCGAGCTATAAAGCAATTTTCTTCTAGAAATCAAATTGGTAATAACGCTACTCATCTTTGAAATTTTGATGAATTTTAAAAATTACACAACTTATCGTATGTGTTTTTTTCTGATATAATCGTGGCGATTAACGTGTTAATGGAGAAGAATTAAATACATATTTACGACATATCTAATAAACTACTAAAAGTATTTTTTTTCCTAGTAACGTAGTAACTTTACCACTCTCACTGCAAGAAATTACAATCATATCATTACCGTTCTAGTCGGTGCCAAATCAATATTTTATAAATAACTTTACTAGGATGGCTTTGATATGCACATGCAAAGAACTGTCAGTGTTGGCAGTTGAAGGTCTTCAGCAAGAAACTCAAGCTCATTTAGGATAATTTTTCATGTCAACTATAAGACACTGTCGCCAAATTCAATGCCAATGGAATGGACACATCCAACAGTAATTTAATTTGCGGGATAAATAAAAAAATAATGCCATACTTGAACTAATGTGATTTGTTTCGCATTTTTAACAATATAGTTCAATAATTGAAATAGACTACATGTATATTAGTTGAAGCATATATGAATTTGTTTAGTTTATATTATTTCATGTTGATCTTTTTTCAAATTTTTCATAAGTAGGTAATTATCCTCTATTCCAATCACAGATTTCTCCTTTTAGAGCAATATCTAAAATATTTTTTTATCTTCTTTAGACATACATTTCTGTTATATAATTCTTATTGTATAAGAATTTTTTTTTGTTTTAATTTTTATTGGCCTCCGCTTTACAGCATTTTTAGCCACCTACATTATTCATATTATTTTTCATCATATTCTGTATAATTTGTATAAGAAAGAAAACTAAAACTGTATATAGCATAATCTGTATAAAAAATAAATAAAATCTGGTATCAAAACGTCCAGAATGTCGGTTAGATATACAGGGTATTCCAAAACTCAAAGTCAAGCCGAAACGAAATGATAAAATTGATCATGACTGTCATGAATAAAATAAGAAAAGAAATTTATACCACAAAATTTGAAAATTATGAGCTTTTAATTTCAATTTTTATTTTTTTACTCATTTTTGAAACTTTATAGTTTCATGATTAAAAAATTCACCATTTTACAATTGTGATTAAATTCGCAAACTTTTAATGAAACTTACCAACACACTTTAGTGCATTTTTTCGAAAAGAGAGCTTCTCAAAGTTTTCTCAAAGAGTCTTAATTCTTGAAAACTCAAGTCAATTGTGCCATAATTTTTTATTGTGATCTCAAAAATGTTATTTACGATTACGGATCCAAAGCTTAAATGAACAAAATTGATACAAATTAACCACAAAAACCAAAAAATTGTCACATTTTCACCAAAACTCAAGGTTGGACTAATAGCTCATCATTTTTAAACTACTCGAAATAAATTTTCTTCTAATTTTTATCTTGACAATTATGATCAATACATACAATATATATTAGGGTGGTCCTTAATATGGACATTTTCGATTTTCCTTGCTACCAAGTGCTCAAATAGTTCCAAATTGATAAAAAACAATTCTCTGAAAGTTTTAGCTCTTAATATTGTCTTTTAGATAGAGCGCAACTCAATCAAAGTTTTGTTTGGAAATAGCATGAAAAAATTTTCAAAAAATTTGCAGAGCGTCGAATTTTCAATAAAAAATGAAACAAATTTTTACTTTTAATTCATTTGTCGCTAAGTTATACCTAAAAAATTTTTTTTTTAATTTTCAAAAAATTTACCATGCTATTTCCATACAAAGTTTGATTGAATTGCGCACTATCTAAAAGTTAATATTAAGAGCTAAAACTTTCAGAGAATTGTTTTTTATCAATTTGGAACCATTTGAGCCCTTGGGAGCAAGGACATTCGAAAATGTCCATATTAAGGACCACCCTAATATATATATATATATATATAATATATATATATATATATATATATATACAGCAGCTATAAAAAATAACAATATCAGAAAGAAAACAATATCAACAAAACTAAATGTTTTGTTGGCCCATCTCATGAGATGTAGAAGAAATGCCAGATGTTTGTTAATAGTAGGTACTCTTATATTTACTGGTATCTTGCCAACATTTTTTAATATATATATGTATATATATATAAATATATATATATATTTATATGTTTCTGTGTTGGGGCACTTTTGTGTTTATCTAAGTTCCCTTACGGCCTACGACCCAATAAAACGAAATGGGAGCACAATATGTTTGCCCAACTTTTATGTGATGGTTTCCTTAAAACACTTCTAATTAATTTTCGTTTATCTTAAAATTTGTTTCAACTCATGAGCTTTGGCAATGATTTTTACGTTACGTCATAGAAATTTGGCCTACGTCATTAATATATATGTATACATGTTACGATTTATTAGGTCGCCTAGTTTGAAAAAACTACTGAATTATCTTAGGTTATTTTTAATCAGAGAATCAAGGTTCAGTGCTTACTAGGTCAGTATTTAATAATATATATCTCTCTGCATATATATTTCATGTGCATACGTCAATACATCTGTTCCAAGTCAATATCAATTGCTAATTGACAATTAGGATCAAATTGAAATTATAAATAAGTCAATAATAAAAAAAATAAATATTAATATTCAGTGTTCTACAATTGGTCGAAGGGCAAGTTCTAGTGTTTTCATTTAAAAGATGTACATGTCATAAACAAATAATGTAGAATGATATAACATTGATCTTTCTTTCAATCATATTTTTTTCATACTATAATTTTAGCTAAAATAAATATATATCCGGATAGTATATATTGCATATTAATCTTATTAATACATATAATATATTTTTTTACATCACCATTATCTTAAAAATTAAACTTGTTGGTATTGGTATTTTGCCTTGAGGCAAATTACATGAACTTCCCGATATGTGTGATAATCGACTTAATCAATAGAAAATAATTTAATTTATAAGTGATTAAAAGTATTCCGAGTGGATTTATATTTATTTCAAATAATTGAAAACGAACGAATACGTTAAACTCGGAGTGTTCTCCAAAAGCAAATTTTCAAAAATCAATAATTTTTATAATTAAACCAGTTTCCGGAGGACTTTAATGGTTTAGTATGTTCATTAAGACCAAGTACTCTATCGTTATACCAAGTAAATCGTCTAAT